TATTATTTAGAAATTCAGAATCCAGGCCCCACCTTGACCTACTGAATCAGAATCTGCATTAATGTAACTTTATTATTTGCTCAAGTTTAACTAACATATACCTTAAGAGCAAATCTGAAGACTGTGTTTTAGTCCCATTTTCATATTTTATTTCTAGTGTCAAGCATAGTGCCTGGCATTAAAAAAAAAAAAAAAAAACCCTTTCCTGTAAGGAAATACATGGATGATTAGTAAATTTGTACAAAATGAGAAGATAATAGAGTTGATTCATTCTGACTAAAACTCAGGGTTACAGCACTCCTTACATATTTTATCAAGCTCTAAAAATTGATTTGCAGTCCCCATTAATTTTTCAATGTGTGTCAGAAAGTATTTTCCTTGGGTTGGTCATGACCAAAGATTTTGCTTGTTAATTACAGCCAGCAGTGGCTTCCTCAAGGCTTCCTCTGCCCTCCCTTTACTCACCACCAGCCCTTTATGTTACTGAAGAGCCAGCTCTGAAAATAGCAGCAGAGACACACACATTCCCACTTGGGAGGGAGCCCGGTCACCTCAGGAAGTGTGTGTTGGCAAATGTGGAGATCGCAGGACAGTAAAGCCCATGTCTCCTAGTAACCGTGCAGCCTGCCAAGTGATAACCCACAGTAATTTTTTAATAGTTAGGATCTTTCAAATGATTTTTACTTAGTACCTTTGAGTGATCCATATTCTTCACAGGGAAGCTTGCGTGCATGCTCTGAAAGTTTTGTGCTTCTGCTCTGACTGAACTTGAACTTGTGACCAGAATAGAAAAGATGGATAAGGTGGAAAGTTTCCTGACTTGAAAGGGTCATGAATTCCAATGCCTGGGCACCGGAAGGTAGAGAGTGAGTAAGGTGAGTCAAGGCAGCGGAGACCCCTACTACTGGCACACTGGGAGTGTGATGCTCATTGTGTCATGATAAAGACCACACTGGCTCTATCCCGATTCAACCCAAGCCACCTCACTGAAAAATCATTCTGAAAGAGCATTTCCTGAGGTTTGAGGTTTTCTTTCACCCCATCCATGCTTGCAACCATGTCTCTTGATCTGCTCCTGCCTTTCCATTGCAACAACCTCAGGACACTCTTCCACACTGAGGTACTTTCCTAGCAGAACCAAGAACAGGAGCAAAATCTTTCTTGCAGAAATCCTTAATCATGTGAGCCTGTTACATGCAAATTGGTTTTGGTCACACCCTTGGCAACATTGCCTATAAGATGGACGTGGCCATCCGGGTCCTTATAACTAACCTTAGAATCAGTCAAGTTATATTTCCTAGTATATCCAGATCTTAATCAGAAACATTCAGTTTCAACATTCAAGTTTTAAATGTTGATTTTGATTTTAAATGTTGCTTATTCAAATTATTTTTTAAAATACATAAAAAAAATCTTATCTTTGAAAAAAAAGATAGAAAACCACTAAAATTACAAGCTTTTCTGTAAAGGTTGTAGGTGATGTGGGAAAATAAGAAATGCTGAAAAGATGGACATAATAACACTACCTCATTTAAAGCCTTATGTTGTAGGTTTAGGGGACCTTCAAGAAAGCTACAGTTTAAGCTTCAATAATCTTGTGATTGCTAGGTCTGGTGCTACCTCTGCCATTTCAGAGAATGTACTAGAAAGAGTGTAAAAAACTTGCCCAAGATTGTTTGGTTATTGGCACTTGATTACCACATGGCAAGCACTCCAGACATATTTTCTCATTAACCCTCCAAGCAAGGTGTCATGAGCCTCATTTTAGGGATTAGAATCATGCACCATCAACAGTGGGTAGCATTTATCAAACCTCCCCACCAGTGGCTGTCTTGAACTCAAGTTTCAATGCTTTAAATGAGCCATCTCATTTTATCCTCATAGCAGGTATTCTACCTAGAAATTTGGTGTTCTTAGAATCTCAATTTTACAGAAGAGGACATACAGTTTTTAAAAAATGATTGAATGACTTGCCCAGGGTAGCATTTGGTGGTGAAGCTGGCATTTGAATTCCAGGCTGTCTCTTCTGAGCTTTTCACCACTACTGTATGCTAAGGACTGCTAATGCCTATATATTTGATTAGCTCAAATAAAATATCTGATAACTGACGATTGGTCTTCTGCAACAGCAGTTTCATATGGTTCAACTTAATGCTGTGTATTTCATCTGTCTCCAATCAGTCTTAAACTAATATCTAGAATAGGAAACAACTCTAAATAAGTAGATTGTTTGGTAGAATTTATAATTATGCTGAGAAGTCTGCTAATCATTTATTAATCTGTGAAAGATCCTGAACTTGAAAACTAAGGAAAGTCCACATACAAAGATTACAATTAGAGCTTTTATTTTCCAAATATTTCTTTCAGTTATAAATTTGTTTCATGAATGTTACTTCAATTTAATGACACTGAACATGAGTGACATTATAAAATTATGAATAAAAACTTAGTCACATCTTTCAGTGGAAGATTTTTATTGATAGCCATTGGTCTTAGTAACATCTAATTAAAAAAGGTATGTGATATCTTCTTGTGACAGTGGTGATTGGAAAGAATTAAAACTAAATCCAGTAGAACTTTGTCTCTACTTTTTGTTCACTGTAAAATTTTTTTTTGAAATATTAACTTTTTTAATTTCCTAAATTGCACTGATGGTCTTTAGTTAATGAAAAGGCAACACTGTGGGCTAACTTCAACTTCAAGGAAGGCATGGGACATTCTTTGAAGTCACATCTGAGAAGTGCAGAATGAGTCTAGCTTATGTCTGTTAATTCTCCCCTACGCATGTGTTAGCACTGAGAAACTCACATGGACGCCTTTCTTCAAGCTGGTTCTACTCCATCCCAGAACCTTAAGTTGGAAGATGAAAGAAGTTTTTTGAAGAGTGATGTCGCCTTCTGAGAAAGAACTGTAATGATTGAGTACAAGTCAATAGATTGTGCTTATCAGGTTCTGTCTGGAATCTTTCTACTTCAAACATGGTGCCTTTTCGTCTGCTGTGCTTTTTAATTTGTGGGTTCAAAGCTTCCCTGTTGACACAAATTATTCTACTACTCTCAAAGAGAAAGTGGATATACATACATACATACATGTATATATATAGATACATACATATGTATTAATGAGTTTAGTAATTCAAAAACTATTTTAAATGGTGTTGACAATAAGAATTAATTTTAACTATAAAATTAAAGGTTAATGGAAGCAAACTCTTCATCCCCTATGTGTGTCAGGCAGAATAACACATTACTGTGTCCTTTTGCTTTCGTGCTTCAATAATAAAATGTTTTATGTAGTTAGATCCTGATGTTGGAAAATGGAATGAAATCCTTGGGAAGAAACTGTGCATAGGATTTGCTGTCATTTACAAATTTGCTTTACTTTGCATAGAATTACAAACATTGCTTTGGATTCATAGAAGGAGTCAATATAATGTCTTCTCTGCTTACTATAAAAGACATTATGGTGAATAGGTCAATTCTAATGCTGATGATTTTTTTTAATCATGTAGCCACTGAATATTATAAGCTATGTTTATAAGCTCTGAGTATATTATAAGCTATATTATAAACTATGAGTATAAGCTATGTTTTCAAAATGGGCATTCATGAATCAATCACCTTCATGATTTTGTCCATATGTGAACATAATGTTTATTATTTATTTGAAATTTTCTTTAAAATAAAATTTAAGCTAAAGTTTTCAGAAAAGAAATTCTTATCACTACCACTGCTGTCACTTACTCAGTTAATTAATTTCTTAAATTAGCTGTCTTTTGAAACTTCAGGTTTAAAATATCCAGTTTAGTATTGTTTTTCTTTATTATCTTCTAAATATTACCTATTACTTTAAATATATTTTGTGTTACTACGATATTTTACTACTTACATTTTTCTAGTGCTCATTAAAAATATACATGCTGGGGCCTCCCTGGTGGCCTAGGGGCTAAGTCTCAGAGCTACCACCACAAAGGTCTAAGTTCAATCCCCAGTCAGGGAACTAACTCACCTGGTGCAGCAGGCCTCTCCTTTTTTGACTGCTGCTCCCTTAGCAGTGTGTTTCAGTTGACCGTCCTGTTCTGCTCCCCACTCTCTCTCTGGTGAATCCTCTCACCACCACCCCCCACATACTCCTGGCCTGTACCCCAGTTCTTCTATGCAAAAATAAATAAAATCTTTTAAAATTTTTCTATAAATGTATATGGGAATTTTAAAATAAGTTATTTAAAATATATATGCATGTGTGTATGTGTGTGTGTATACATGCCAATGAAAATAAAAAATAAAAGGTGAAAAAATCCATCCTCATACCTCTCAAAAGCAGTTGGCATAATGGAGTCAGGCCTGAGCCTAATGGTGGGGAAAAAAGTAAAGATGGGCCATGACTGAAAGAGTGACTTAGAAAGGGTGCTACCCATAACACAGAGTTTTCTGTTGAAACTTGGCAAAGATTTGTTCCCACCCCACATGACCCTGAGAGTCAATCCTGCAATTCACTTAAAGAGGTGCCACGTGGTGCTTACTGTCCTCTTTTTTTAAATATTGCCCCATTCCCTCTTGATGAGTCCCCTTATTAAGGGAAGGTGACCTTGACTTTGTAGGCCTTTGAGCTTGCAGGCCATAATGAATTTTTTTATTTTCTGTGAGACTTGCTCTAAATGAGATTCAGCGTGATGCTGGTGCATATATGTAAAAAGATAACCAATTGAAATTCAAACATAATGAGGATGAAGTTTGCTATTCAGCACAGCCGCTTTTGTTTTTAGCTCTAGTAGGTTCTTTGACCCCAAACAATGCAACTTGCCTCCTCACTTCAGAAATCACCATGCCTAGCTGGGCAGGATCAACATCTTTTCTAACCCATTCCGGAAATGAAATACAGTTTGTACTGGTTTTCTAGTTAAAAATTTTTTTAATGTGCTAAAAGATTTGGATGTGAACTCTTGAACAAAAACAAAGTATTCTTTCTAAAACATGCAAATGTGTCTCTCCATCACCTAGGAAACTATTATGGGACTCCCAAACCTCCTAGCCAGCCAGTCAGTGGGAAAGTGATTACTACGGATGCCTTGCAAAGCCTTCAGTCTGGCTCCAAGCAGTCGACCCCAAAGCGAACCAAGTCCTACAATGATATGCAAAATGCTGGCATAGTCCACACTGAGAATGAGGAGGAGGATGACGTTCCTGAAATGAACAGTAGCTTTACAGGTAAAAATCATTTGATGATCCCTCTCAATGGATATGGGAAAAAAGGGGTAGTGGGAGGCTTTTACAAAGAGTTAAGGCATTTCTTCTATTCTTGAGAAATTCAGATGGGTCACCAGAATTCAAACTAAGCACACAAAGCTTGGGGAAAAGAAAGTCTATTCCCTGCCCTTTATTTTTTTTTTTCATGTTTCTCCTTCAGAATATTTGAACTTCACCCAAATTATCTTATGGGAGAGAAAGGAAAATATCTGCAAAAGAGAATTAATAATAATCAGCACTTTTTCTCTCAGAAATAATATATGTGAATATTTGTATTTTGTTCATGTATTTCTTCGTCTTGACACTGTTCCAAAATGTAACAACTGCAAAAGACTGAGGAAGTCCAGTCTGCGATGTTGTGGCTTGGGGACCATCTTGTTTCTTTTGTGTTTCCTATGCTTAAATAGTTCTTTAATATTTTAGAGTTGATTGTATGGAACAGTTACTCACTTTCAGCCTCCAGGGTCCTTTCTCACAGTGGCCTCTTCTGACATCAGACTTGGTTGAGCCTGGGCAAATAATGAACTGTATTTTATACCTTGTTTTACTAAGTCTAATGGAATATTTAGGGAGAATTTTGTATTGGTTAAATGCTTTCTATAGGATCGATGGGCCTCTCTGTGGTTTACTCATTTATTAAGCTCAGAAGCATAAAACTCTTTGATATGACAATTAAATTTTTTTCATGGCTTTATTGTCCTAATATTAGCCCAACGATTTTGCCAGAAAACTTGGATAAAGGAGAAAGCCAAGTGTGTTATCCAAGTTTAGACTTTGGTAGTTGTCTTATTGTGTCTAACTTCCCCTGATCTGTAAAGTAACTGGTTCAGATTCAGTCATCTCTAACATCCCCTTCTAGCTCAAAGAGTTTGATTCTATGAAAATTTCCGTTTTCTCAACTAGAATGGCTAGTGATTCCCAATAGCTAGGGGAAATTTGTCAACATTTATATAGGCTTTTATTGAAATCAGTTGATTTCATCTACTTTGAAATATGTTAGCCATTTATAATAGTCCTGACCAGTATGAAAGCAAATTATGAAAACAGTATTTCTTTTTAAAAAGGATCTGATGCTTTAATGTCCTGATCTTTCAATTTAGACCAAATCGGGATATAACCCAAAGCACAGATATAGACTCAACAGTAGATGAGCTCGGAGGTAACATGTAATAAAACAATTCTGCCAAGTTTGTGGATAGTCGTCAAGAAGCATGTCTGCCTTTATTTCTCCTCCATTCAATTACAGAGATGTCTTGGTAGAAAGTTCATGTAGGGTAATAGGTCTTGATGATTTTCCTGCCTCTAATGACTATACGTGTCTGTCTCCAGAAGCCATGCCTCAGAAAATCTGATCCCATATGATCCCCACATGAAAGCTTATCATCAAAGGAAAACTCCTGTGTGCACATCATCATTGCTCAAGTCAATCTGATCATTAGTTTCTGCATGTAATGAAAGCCAAATGGCACCTGATTGTTTTGTTCAAGTTCCTGTCTTGATAGCAAGAAAGCCCCTAGCATGCACACAGAGAAAATTAGCCCAGAGATCAAGATGTGATGAGACATCCTCAATATTTAAGGAATATCTCAAATAAATGCACCCTTTCACCAAACTACAACTATGACAGCTGAAAGCCTTCATACATTAATTCATAGATTCTTTCAAATAGTTGACATTACCCAGCCTATGATATGTGTATCAAACTCAATGTATCAAAGCATTTTGCACTCTGACCCACTCTAAGTAGCAATCCACCAGCTATTTCAAATATAGAGTGACAGACAGTAGCATAATGGGATCTTGGCTCCTGGTGGGACCAGGTAGAATAAAGGCAAGAGCATCATCTCCAAATGTAGAAAAACTATGAACCATCAAAATATTTATTTACCAAGATATTTCTAGTATATGCTATTACTGTGATCTTAGCTGACTTCTGCTTGGGTCTTTTGAGGTAGACACAATGTTTAAATAACATGCCTTAACAGCACCGGCATGTCTGCAGGCAAAAGAGCAGAGAACCGAATAGCCAGAAGCATCCTATGGAAGTGGCCCACATCTTTTCTGCTGGCAGTGATAACTGCAGGAGCTTAACAATGAGTGTTCATCCCAAGTACTTTAGGACTGACTGTTGAAACCAAAGCACTAAGACAGTCTTCTAAAAAGTGTCCCTAAATTATGGACCTGAAAGAAGCCTTTAAGAGAGAGAACACTTTATGTGCTTCATGTTACAGTGTTGGCCAAAGCACAGTTATTTATAAAAATGAGTAAAAACATTTGTAAAAATATTTTGTTCATTAGACAACTTTCACCACATCTAAAACAGCAGCTGGTTCATTCCTATGTTCATTGTTGCATTATTTACAATGGCCAAGTTATAGAAGCAACCTAAGTGCCAAGTACAAATGGCTGGATTAAGGTGTGATGCACACACACACACACACACACACACGTACACAGTGCAATACTACTCACTTAAAAAACAAACATGAAATCTTGCCCTTGCAACAACATAGATGGAACTGGAGGGGATAATACTAAGCGAAATAAGTCAGAGGAAGCAAGAAAAATACCAGATTTATGTGGAACATAAGGAAACAAAGGAACAGACAAAACAAACCCTAGAACGCTATAGAATTGAGTCTACCTGAACAGAAAAAGAAGCAAGGGGCCCAGTGGACTGTGGTGGAGGACTATGGGTATTTTGGTGGTGAGTTGGTGCTGTAAGATACTTTTGAAATGGTGTGAATCTACATGCCTAAATTATATGTAGTGTTATACCTCAATAAAACACAATTTTTAAAAAAGGTAACTGGTTCTACCAGTAACTACCTTCAAGAGACATCAATATGTTATTTAATTACATTTTTAGAGTGTATTTTTTCCCCCAACAGCTCCCCATTGTTGAACATTCGGTGGCTGATGTCTTTTTCATTAGCAGGTGATGATAAAACTTTGCTTTGGAATTATGATTATATTTTAAATAAAATGATTATAATATTACTAGGAGAGCTAATGTTTCTCCAGTACTAATTAGGTGGCAGGTGCATTGCTAAGCTCTTTTTGGATAGACCAGGGAGAGCAAGCAGTTTATACAGTATCACAAAGCCAATGAGTGTAAGAACTATCATTTCAATCCAGAGAGCCTGACTCCAGAACCTGGGTACTCAACCACTGTGTTACTTAGGTTTTAAATCAAGTTTATTAGGTTAGGTAGCCTCAAAAGTTTCGAATGGTTATACATGAGAAATGAATGAATCTAAAAGCATGTATAATTTATTTTTTTTCCTGTCTCTTATTTTTTTTAATAAATTTTATTCTTATATTCCCCATACAATTGCAACCCCCTTATTTTGACCCCAATCCCTCCCCTTCCCGCCCCCCCCCCATAGAGTGCCTCTGGTTCATAGTTGTTTGTTGATTTTGATTTTTACTTTCTTATAGTTATTCATTTTCCTGGTCCCTTATTTAAGTTTTCTAGATTCCTGCTATGAGTGAGACCATCCGGTATTTTTCTTTTTCTTTCTGGCTTATTTCACTGAGCATGATGCCTTCCAGCTCCATCCATGTTGCTGCAAATTGCATGTGTTTATCTTTTTTGAATGCCGAGTAATATTCCATGGTATATATGTACCACATCTTCTTGATCCAGTCATCTATTTTCGGGCATTTGGGTTGTTTCCAAAGCTTAGCTATTGTAAACAGTGCTGCTATAAACATAGGGGTGCAGGTGTTCTTTGGAATCGATGTTTCTGTGTCCTTTGGGTAAATACCTAGGAGTGGAATTGCTGGATCATATGGAAGCTCTATGTTCAGTAGGTCCAGAAATCTCCACACAGCTCTCCATAGTGGTTGGACCAGTTTGCACTCCCACCAACAGTGCAGAAGAGTTCCTTTTTCTCCACACCCTCGCCAACATTTGTTGTTGCTAGTTTTTTTAATATGTGCCATTCTCACTGGTGTAAGATGGTATCTCATGGTAGTTTTGATTTGCATTTCCCTGATTACAAGTGATGTTGAACATTTTTTGATATGCCTGTTGGCCATTTGCATTTCCTCTTCAGAGAAGTTTCTTTTTAGCTCTTCTACTCATTTTTTGACTGGATTATTTTCTTTGTTGTTGAGTCTCATCAGCTCTTTGCAGATTTTTGTGATCAGTCCTTTATCATTAGTGTTGTGTGCAAAAATGTTCTCCCAGTCGGTGGAGTTACTCTTTGTTTTTGTTATTGTCTCATTTGCTGTGCAGAAGCTCTTTAATTTGATGTAGTCCCAGCTGTTTATCTTTGCCTTCACTATCACTGCTTTGGATGATGTGTCTGTAAAGATGTCTTTGATGTGCATATCACGTACTGTTTTGCCTATATTTCCTTCTATGTATTTTATGGTTTCAGGTCTTATGTCTAGTTCTTTAATCCATTTTGAGTTGATTTTTGTGTATGGTGTGAGGTAGTGGTCAAGCTTCATTCTTTTGCATGTAGCGACCCAGTTTTCCCAGCACCATTTATTGAACAAACTTTCTTTGCTCCAATGCATAGTCTTTGCTCTTTGTCAAAGATCAGTTGACCATAAATCTGTGGGTTTATTTCTGGATTTTCTATTCTATTCCATTGGTCTGTGTGTCTGTTCTTGTTCCAATACCATGCAGTTTTTATGATTATGGTTTTGTATTATAGCTTGAAGTCTGGGAGTGTGATTCCTCCATTCCCTTCTTTCTTTTTCAGGAGAGCTTTGGCTATTTGGGGTTTTTGGTGATTCCATATGAATTTCATCAATAATTGTTCTATTTCTTTGAAGAATAACATTGAGATTTTGATTGGAATAGCATTGAATCTGTATATTGCTTTTGGTAGGATGGCCATTTTAATAATTATTAAAAGCATGTATAATTTAAAGTAAGCTCCAGAAGTATATTTTAACACAAGTTGGTATCTTCCAAGTCACCTTCGAAAGTGTGTCTATGTATGTATGTGAGTGCCTGGAAGCTTCTGATTAACTATGAATGACTATATCACTCATATTCATTTATAGTTTACAAGTCATTTTCACATGTATCCTGTAAACCTTCTGGAATTCCTGGGTGATAAACAACCCAGGTATTTCCATCCTCATTTTACATGAGAAAACACAGAGGAATGGTGTATACCACCTTACCAGACAATGGGAGAACTAGGTTTCTTGTCTCTATCCAGTCTGTTTTCCAACAATCTATTCTACATGTGTTCTTGGGATTCAGTAGTAATCCTAATTATTTGGTAAATTTAATGAAAGATTTTTTGAAATCAGAGCATATGTCAACACCATGATTGGAATTGTGCATTTTTAAGCCTTGCCCCAGCCTCTCATTTTCAGACTTATCATTCACTTTTGAAAAATGAGATTGTTTAAGATTCTATTGAACTGGAAAGAAGAAGCAGAGTTAAGTATGTATAGCTTAAATATCATTGTTTTTTCTGTTGTTCTTAATTACCTAGATGGGAAGAACCCTTAGAAAATTCATATATATATATATATATATATATATACACACACACACATATATACATACATACACACACATATATATGTATATATAGATCAAATTATCATTATGTACACTAAATATCTTACAATTCCATCAATAATATACCCAAAATATTTTAAATTAAAAAAATATATCTCATTTTTACATGTCAATCACAATTCAAGAAGTGATATTTTTTAAAAAGGCAATATAAAATAATAAATTTCTGGATAAAATTTTGGATAATTTAAAATAAGGTCTAGTTTCTGGAGGAATTTTTTTTTCCTTCCAAGAAATTAAGATAACTTGGATATTTTCTTAACAAGCCAATATTCCCTTTGTGTACTTGAAATCGTAGAACACTGGCAGGCCATCTTCTTTTAAAACAAATTACATTCATTGCTAATCTGAGTTTACTTCTAGGTTCTTATGTGTGCTCCACCTATTGCCAATACCCTTTTCCTCTTAAAATCAGGGGGCTTTAAAGCATTATTTTTTTAAAAAATTAAAAGATTTAGCATCTATTGATAGTATTGCCCTGGCATGTCTCTGACTCTTAAATGATCACTGATGGGCATTTGTATTTCCAGTATTAGGCTCCAGTCCATAGCACTAATGGGCGAGCACTGATACTGCGTGAATTAAATCATGGAACTTTCATGACACCTATATTATTCCCATTTTACAGAGGAAGAAACAGAGACTCATTTAGGTGCTGCCTGAACCAAAGTCACACTGCTCCAAACAGGCAGAACTATAATTTGATATGTGATCTAATGTCAAATTCAATCTTTTTCCTATGTATTTATGACAAATTGGTAACCTGAGGGCCAGAAATAACCTGAAGACAAAAATTTATGACAATTTTGATTAGTGGATGCTGAGTGCTGTGTGCCGAGCCCTTTACTGACTGCTTTTCATGAATTAGCTCATGCAGTCTTTCCCACAACCCTCTGTGTAGATACTGTTATCTTCGCTGTTTTGTGAATGAGGAAACTGAGGCATACAGAGGTTATTTTGCCCTAATTAGTGAAAGCCAGGATTCAGGCTCAGGCAGTCTGGTTACAGCAGTGATGTAGTCACTATTTTTTTTTTTTTTTTGAATTTTGCCTCATTGCACTTCATTATTTTTAAAAGTAATTATGACTGAGAAGTTGGGAATTCTTACATAAAAATACCTATACCACCTTCTCTTGAAACATGAGCAGTCTGGCAACCCTTAGCTTGCGTTTCTCCAGGATGCTAAGTTTTTGGCACTGAGTTCCCTGCTGCCTTCAAATTGGATGCCCCTCTTCAGTGCTCTATCCAGAGCCACCTCTTCTGTCTCTGGCAAGCACCATGGACAACCAGTTGTAACAACGTCTCAGCTGACTTCAAACCAACCATATTTTAGACTCACTAAAACCTGATATTGCCCTGATGTTCACGAGTGGGTCAGGGTGGTGCCGATCCGGGGTATAGACTTATCTGCAATTTTTCACCAGGTTTAAGCAGGAAAAGGCAGTGAGGGGATCAAGCAATTGTAGAGGTCAGGGGTACATGGAATTAATAGTTCAGTCAGGGGTATTAGGTGAATTTCTCTTCACCTCTGTTTTCCTCTGTGTGGGCTTAATTCTCTTAAATCTTTTAAACAGGTCTTGCAAAGCTGTGTTAATACGGCTGTCAACCCCAACAGCATGGGCACCTATCTGTCAGCTAAATAATTTCAGCATCATGATGTTACCTCCTGCTTGGTATTTAGAACAAAACCTCCTGACATCTGTTAGTACACTTTGGATTCTGTGTCTATTCCTATTACAGTGGCAAGAGTGATAGGATATTCTGGGTCGGCAAAGAATATAACTTGGGTCCACTGCATGAGCTCAGACTGGGTTTGAGTCCATCCCTTCCTGCACCATATGGACCTGGGATGGGGGTTGTTTTCCCAAGGAGCGTCTGAGTAGTGGTACCACAACAAGGAGTAGAAGCAGAAGAGGTCAGGGGTATGTGGCAACCTCTATATGAGTGGTGGGATTTTGGTAGAACTATCTGTTTAATAGACTCAACATGTCCTCCATCCAACATTTGGGTTACTTTCCTTCTCGGATATGTCACTGGCAGTTACTCACCAGAGAAAGATTTGAAAACAGTCTTTTATTATTCCTTACTCTGCTTTCAGTAAATCAGAAATGTCTACAGGAGAATTACTGTTGGAGAGAGAAATAACTACAGTCCCTGATTATAATGTTTTAAAGCCCCATGGAGAGTGACATTTAATAACATCAGCCTTATAAAAATTCAACCAGAATGTCAACATTGCTGTTTGTGGATGCTTTGATGGTATCATCTCTTGATTTTTTTAGTTAATAAGAAGACAAGGAGACTCACGTCTTAGAGCCTTCTTTTAAGACCCAAGTCAAATCAGACCACCCACATGATACTGTTCTGGGGATAACTGACTTAGTTTTCACAGGAACATTCTCCTCACTTTTTCCAGAAGAGGCTTGAATCTGACTCATGGTATAGCTGTCTCTGTATTCTAAATTTTTGTAAACTTTCCAGTTTGATTTGTCAGTCTATAATCTTTGCCAGAATCTATGGAAAATATTTTCAATAATTTATACAAAATGGACAGTATTTTCTCTCTCTGTGTTTTCAGCTTTGACTTTTTCCTTGCCCCCAAGAGTCATCTGAGTTATGAAACCAAATGATACTTATGGAATGAGAGTGATGCTTGGACTATTTCAGGGTCTTCTTAGTTGAAGAGACTTTAGGGTTTGTGTCATAAATTTGTTTCTTCTCTGACATTTCCAAGAATGTAACAATGCATTTTTGGGGACACGTTTTGCTCTTCTTTCTTTTCAGGTAAAGTAGGTTTATTCCATCATTTTGATGCTTTCTTTTAGGAGAACTTTCATCTAAGTAAAACAGAATAAAGACACTGGTCAGCAATTAGTAAAGGATAAGGGGTTTTTAGGATAGATGCTTGTTGAACTCTCCAAGTGAAGTATGATTGATGATTCTCCCTCTCTCTGTTTCTCCCACTCTTTGCCCTCCCTAATTAAATAGCCGATTCTGGTGACCAAGAAGAGCACACACTCCAAGAAACAACACTACTGCCTGTGAATAGTAGCACCAGTGCTGCTCCCATCACGGACCCTTCTCAGAAGTTCCCTCAATACCTACCTCTTTCTGCAGAGGATAATTTAGGTCCTCTACCTGAAAACTGGGAGATGGCCTATACCGAAAATGGAGAAGTCTATTTTATAGAGTAAGTATGTCATTATTTCTCCCTGAATCTATTCCTTCCTTTCCCCTTCCTTCTCTCTATCTAGCAGTTATAGATGTAAATTAAGTGTAAAAGGATTGACCCCATGCTGAAAATATTCTTTTACACATTTTACAAGCTTTGCACCAAAAGGCAATTAACATATCATCTGAATCATTGAGTCTGAAGAGCTCAAGGAAATATAAGGTTAGTAATTTCCCTAAAGGATTAGACATCTAAATTACAGTGTTTATAGAAATGATGGTATAATAAATATATAAAGAATATATTTAGTCATTAAAAATAGGTAAATCATTAGTTTATATTTTCTTAATTGGGTTAACAGTTTTATTTTTGTTGCATTTTTAGATTTCTTGATGTATTCTAGATAAAATTCCCTTATGCTGGTGATTTGCAAACATTTGCAAAATGTCAGGGTTTTCTTTTCATTATCTTATGTTTTTCAAAGAGCCAAAACTTAATTTCAGTGTTATCTAATTTATAAAATTTTATTTATTTATTTGTTTGTTTGTTTATTTATTTATTTATTTATACAAGCACTGGGTACAGTCAGAAGCGCGGGAGGGTGAGAGAATTCACCAGAGCCAGAGCAGGGAGCAGAGCAGGCAGAAGGACCGAAGACACTGCTGAGGGGAGCAGCAGGCGCAACAGGAGAGGTCTGTGCACCATGTGGGATCCTCCTCCGGTGGCCAGGGAGCAGCCGGGGATCGAACCAGCGCCTCAGAGGCCGCGGGCAGCTTCGCAACCCAGCACTCAACTGCTGCGCCACTGGGGAGGCCCTAATTTATCAATTTTTAATGGACTGTGTTTTAGTTAATAGCTAACTCTTTCCCTAATCCAAAGTCATAAGCCATTCATTTTTTTGCTTTATTTCACTGAAAAATTTTATAGTTTAAAATTTTGCAGTTAAACCTGTGATCCATTTTAATTTTTTTTTTTAACATGGAGAAAAGTTGAGAAAAAATAGACATAAATGTTTTTCCAAATTACATGACTTTTATGTAGTTAACCATTTAATACCTAACCTTTGCTCTAAAGGAAAAAAAAACACATTCGTTTGAAACAATTTTAGAAAATCTAAAATAATGTGATTTCCTAACCAACGTAGTCAATTTTTAAAGTGCTCTACTTTGACTTTAATATTATGATTCTGTATTAAAATTCACCATAGTGCCTCCCCTGGTGGCGCACTGGTTGAGTGCTGGGGCTGCGAGGTGCAGCCTCTGCAGTACCGGTCGGTCCCCAGCCACCAGTGAGAGTTCCATATAGCGCGCAGACCTCTCCTGCCTCCCGCTGCTCTCCTCAGCAGTGTATGAAATTTACTTTTTAACTACGACACACATTTTTCTGGGGCTTGAACACATATTTTTATTCTTGTATATATTTGCTCATATATTGGGTTGTTGGAAAAGTCATGGCATCTTTTTTCTGTGTTTCTTAGGTTTTGTTTTTTATTTTTTTTTATTTTTTACATCATTGTTCATTTTTAAACAATATTTGCTTCCCCTCACCCCTGCTAGTATAGTCCCTATAGAGTTTCCTTCACCAATGTACCGGTGCACCATCACCTCAGGCCCCTGTGCTCCTCCCTCCCTCCCTCTGATCCCTCTCCCTCCTCCTCCCCTGCATGTCTCTGATTTATAATTGTTCATTTTGCTTTGTTGTGTTTTGTACTGTTATTGTTTTTTTACACTGATGTCTTATTGGATTCCCCTATATTCCTGCTGTAAGTGAAACCATCCAATATTTTTCTTTTTCCTTTTGGCTTATTTCTTTTTTCTATGTTTTTAATGCAAAAAATGTATCATGACTTTTCTGACATACCAATATTTTATAATTTAGTATAGTAAAGGCATGGGATGAGGGACAATGACTTGGGTCTTGGTACATCAGTACCTACCTAGTAAATCTGAGATTAGTAAGTAGAATTCCTGTGTTATTTTCCAACCATCAGGGACAATCCATGTTTCAGGATTGTCAGAGTGAAAGTCCAGGTTCCCTACACATGTCTTTATGTAAAGCACAAATACTTATGAAAAACAGGATGAAGGGTGAAGGCTTTTGCTGGGAGTGAGCAAGGTATAATGTTTAAAAACTCTGAAAAGTCATGTTGCTAGCACTATTTATGTATGTACATGGGAACTTGAGTATACCTGTTTTCATTTCCATTTTCCATATCTGCTAAGCTACATGAAAATTATGAATTACACCTACTCTGTCAGATTGTGGAGGGAAATAGGTGAGATAATGCTTGCACTGGTACTGATTAATTATCATCGTTGTCAGTAGTACCATTTTCATCATCATCCTCTTTGGTTATTAAAGGGGACCTTCAACATTATAAAAAGTTTATGTCAACCATAACCATAACTCAGGATTTTGCATTTCACTTTTGTAATGAATTTCCTTTGAAGTTATGTCTATTAGTAAGGAAGATTGTGTTCAGAAAAGGAAAGTATAATAGAGGCATCCTGAGACAGAGTAATATGTGAACTCAAATTCTTTGAAAATAATGTACCAATGATTTTGCTTAAAAGTGACTTAGTAAATATGAAAAGAAGAAAGTTGGTCTGATCATTAGTGAAATACTAATCTCTGAGATATAGCTGACTCATAGGAGAATGCAGGGATTTGCTCACTTTCATTACCTAATTTAGCTTTTAACTGTTATTAGGCCAGTGTTTCATTGGCCAAATGTTTAATAGAAATGTTATCCAAAAATACAGCTTATTATGACAACTATGGGATTTGGTTTGCAGCTATCAAGTTCTATAAGCATTAAGTTATTAGACTCATGCAATTTAATTTAGCCTAAATTATATATCCTGGTAAATGGTTTTTCACTGTCCTGTATTCTGAAAAGTTTAATTTTAGAGCATTTATATTAAATAGCAAGTCAAATTTCTACAGAATCAAATCTATCTTGTTCTATGTGATTGAGTGTTTTAGTTTTACAGTTTATGAGAAATCTTAGAAATGCTAGAATTAAAAAAAAAAAAAACACTGAAAGATCAAGTATAAACTTATAGACCCTGGGAATTATATAGAAAATAAACATAAAATGATGTTGGACAGAGAGAAAAAACCAAGCAAACTACTAGGTAGCTTCCAAGGAACAAATGGTAGTGAGTACTCTGGGTTTTCCTTTTACCTCAGATATCCCAGACTTGGAGCTAGGAAACTTGTAACTCAGACACACCCACAGGTAGAAACAAACAAAAGAAGCTGTAATATAAAAGCAACCACTTTCCTGCCAAAGCATCTGGAAAGGGCCATCCTTTAAGACAGAAAGCTTTAATTTCATAACCACTGGGTCTCACCCCCTAACTTCACAGACAGTACTGTGGTTAGTCCCACCCCTACCTGCCAGGGCAAAGTGGGGAGCCTAAACCTCCATCTTCCAAAGATTGATTAGGAGGTCAAACTTCCCCTCAAAGGTGGCATCAAAAAGCCTTAGTGCAGAAATGGGGCTACGGTCCTAGCTAAAAATTAATTCTCCCTTTCCCTGTGTGGATTCAATGGAAACCATGTGTGGGGAGCCTGGACTTTCACCCTGACTTGGCTGTCTTTGATTTTTTTTAAAGATTTATTTATTTATGCATACAAGAACTGTGTACAGGCCAGAAGTGTGGGGGGTGAGAGGATTCACCACAGACAGAGTGGAGAATAAAACAGGCAGACTGACTGAAATACACTGCTGAGGGTAACAGCGGGGGAGTCAGGAGAGGTCTGCTGCGCCATATGGGTAGTTCCCTGGCTAGTTGGGTATTGAACTTGTGCTGCAGAGGCTGCAGATAGCTTCACAGTGCTGTGCTTAACCCCTTGGACCACCGGAGAGGCCCTACCTTGGCAGTCTTGAGGCTTCCTTCCTGCCCTTGTTGGGATAGTATGAGAAGAGGTTTGATAGAGAGTCAGGATTTTTGTTACCATCAGTGGTAAAGAGCCAAATTCCATTCCCACAGAGTGGGTAGAATCTAAGTTGGGGTGAGTAATGAAGCTCTTTTGGAGAGCCCATCGATGTTAGTGTCTTCAGAGTCCTAGAAGGCAGCTGGAGTTCCCAACCCCACCCAGCAATAACAAGGAACTACTCAACCCCTTTGGTGTCATGAGAAGACATAGTTATCTATATTAGGATATAAGTGGACAAAGAATCACAGCAGACCATGAAAACATAAAAAGATAATAAGAGAATGCTGCCAACAATCTAAAAATATAAACTTGACAACTGAGAGAAAATGGACCGACTCCTCAACAAGTACAGGCTATCATAACTCATTAAATATGGGACAGATAATTTAAATAGCTCTTATTATAGCTATTAAGGAAAATTAATTCATAATTTTAAAACTCTTGAAAAAGAAATATCTAGGCCTAGATAGTTTCACTGGATAATTATTCAAAGAAAGATTAACACCATTTCTGCACAGTCTTTTCTTGAAAATGAAAACACTCCTAATTGTGTTTAAGAAACTCATGTATATTGTTAGCAAAAGCAAATAAAGACAGTACAAGGAAAAAAACTGCAGAGTAATATTCTCATGAATATAAATGTAAAAATGTATTAACAATACATTAGTAAATAGTATAAAGTAGTATAGAATAATAATTATATATCATTACTAAGTGGAAATTATTCCACAGATGCAAGAATCGTTTCATCTTTGAAAAATAATCAATGTAACCATATTAATTGACTAAAGTGAAAAAAATCACACAATCATATTCCTCAGTGTAGTTAAGTATGTTTGACAAATTCAGCACTCATTCCTGATAAATATTCTCAGGAGTATAGAAATAGAGGGAAATTTTCTTGAGTTAATAAAAAGCATCTACAAAAAAACCCTATAGCTTACATTATACTCGATGATGAAAGACAAGATACTTTTCCTGCAAAATCAGAAACAAGTCAAGGATACTAGCTCTACCACACTTATTTAACATCATGTTGGAAGTTCTAGCAAGACAGGATAACAGAAAAATAAAAGTTTAAAAAGACAAAGATTATTGGAAAGGAAGGAATACAACTATTCCCTTTGGCGGAGTAGATGCTTATCTACATGGAAAATCACAAAATATAAAAATTCTAGAATGTGACCGGCAGAAATTAGAAAAGAATGCAAGTATCAATTGTAAATATACTAGCAATGAATACAGCATTCAAAATAAAATTCATTTTTACTTCTAAAAGCCCCACTTTGGTGTAAGTAACAAAACATGTAAAAGATTTTTGTGTGCAGCACAGTACAAAATGATGAAAGAAATCAAAATTCTAGGACTCCCTGGTTGCACAGGGGTTAAAATCATAGCATTATCAAGCTCTCACCACCCACTTCTGTAATAGTTTGATCCCAGGCTAGGGAGCTAACCCACACAGTGCAGCAGACCTCTCCTGTCTTGCCTACTGCTCCCCTCAGCAGTGTATCTCAGTAGACCTACCTGTTCTGCTCCCCACTCTGTCTCTGGTGAATCCTCTTACCCCTGACACCTCTGACCTACTCCAGTTCTGGTATGCATAAATAAATAAAAAGAAATATTTTTTAAAAAATCAAAGAAAATTGAAATAAATGGAGAGACACACCCTGTCCTGGGTTGAAAGCCTCAGAACTGGCATAGTAGAGATGTCCCCTCTCCCTAAATGGACATACAGGTTTAATGCATATCCTGTCAAAATTTCAGCAAGGCTTTTTGTCAGCATAGACAAGTTTTATCCTAAAAAAAAAAAAAAATACATAGAAAGGCAAAGGAATTAGAAAGGAAAGGAATTAGAACTAAAACATTTGAAAAAGAAGAATTTATTCTTCTTTTCCAAGGAAAAATAATCTGTCTACATGATAGCAAGCCTTGATATACAGCCACAGTAAAAAAAGACTGTGTGGTGTAGGTGAAGAAATAGACACATAAATCAATGGAACTCAGAAACGAACCCTCAAATGTGTCCAACTGATTTTCAACAAAAAAGTAAAATCAATTCAGTGCAGGGAAGATAGCTTTTTCAAAAAAACCATGCTGCAGCAGGTGGTTAGCCAGAGGCAAATAACTTAAACGCAACCTAAACCTTATACTTATCCAAAAACATTAATTCAGAATGAATCATCACAGGCTTAAGTGTACTACACAAAGCAGTAAAACATTTGAGAAAAAACAGAAAGTCTTTGAGATCTGGGGATAGGTAAGAAGTTCTTAGACTTGATATCAAAAACATCCTCTGTAAAGGGAATAATTAATATATTCAACATCATCAACTTGAAAAACTTTTGCAAAAGATCCTGATAAGAGATATTTGTAAAGACAAACTACAGGAAAACATGAATAGATATTTCACTGAAGAGTATATAAAGATGGCAAATAAGTATATGAAAAGGTGGACAACATCATTGACTTTTAGGGGAATGCAATTAAAACCACAATGTGATGTCATTACAAACCTCTTAGAGTGAATAAAATAAAAGATAGTGACAACACTGAATGATGGCAAAGATACAGAAACCAGATGATGTATACACTGCTTGTGGACATGCCGCTGCATGGCATTTTAGAAGTCTGGCGGTTACTAAGAAAAAGTTAAACATGCAGCTACCATACAAACCAGCAATTGCACCTTTGGCCAGAGCAGTTAAAACTTACCTCCACACAAAAACCTGTACATGAATGTTTATGGTAGATTTATTCCGAATAGTCAAAACTAGAAATGACCGAGGTGTCCTTCAGTAGTTAAGCTGTGAATGCGTCCATGGTATGCACTACTACTCAGCAATAAAAAAAAACTATGGTGATATGCCACAGTTTCAGTGAGAATTACACTCGAATACAAAATTCTAATCCCAGAATATTACCTAGTGTACGAATGTATTTATGTAATGTTTTTGATATGACAAGATTTTAGAAATGGTGAAAAGATTACTGGCTGCCAGGGATTAAAAATGGTTTGGCCAGGTAAGGTTTGGAAGGCAACCAAGTGTGGCAATTGAAGTATAACAGAAGTGACTCTTGCAGGGATGGAAATGTTCTGTATTTTGTATCAATAACAATATCCTGGTTGTGATGTTGTACTGTAGTCTTGCAAGATCTTGACATTGGTAGTATCTGGATACAAGGCGGGTGGGGTCTCCCTGTGTTCATTTTTATAACTATAATTTTTATAAGTGTATTATCTCAAAATAAAAGTGTTTTTAAAATCATACATGATCTCTCCGCCTCACCCACCCCAGTCATGCGCATTTTTATGATCTTTGTGAGAATGGTGAAGAGCATGGGGACTAGAGGTGAGACTCCTTGGGTTTGATCCACAGTGTCCTTGGGCAAATTTTATCTCACTCTGCTCAATTTTCTCACCTATAAATTGGGAGTGACCGATTTAATAGAGGATACTTCTCTCCAAGGGTTATTGTAAGGATTAAATAAATTGTAACACATTGTAAAAACAAGTTTCTGCTAGTTGTCAGTGAACAAGTAAAATGGCCATGAATGTTGCTACTATGTTATCTTCCATTTCTTTTTCCTTTTAGCATAATTGAGATAATGTGTGTATATATGTATACATTCTGTTTTTCACTTATTTTTTTCATTATTAAATTTGGATCTAAAATTAAGGGCCATAGTAAATTTTTTAAAGATTTATTTTTATTTATTTATGCATACAAGGGGTCGGCCCCCCTCGTGGTGTAGCGGGTTGAGCACAGCGCTGTGAAGCTGTCCGCAGCCTCTGCAGTGTGGGTTCAATTCCCAGCTGACCAGGGAAATTCCCACATTGTACAGCAGAGCTCTCCTGTCTCTCCCACTGCTCCCCTCAGCAGTGCTTTCAGTCCATCTGCCTGTTCTGCTCCCCACTCTGTGTCTGGTGAATCCTCTCATCCCTCCTGCACTTCTGGCCTGTACCCCAGCTATTGTATAAATAAAAACTAAATCTTAAAAAAAAAGAACTGGGGTGTAGGTCACAGGTGTGTGGGGGGGTAAGAGGATTCACCAGACACAGAAGGGGGAGCAGAACAGGCAGATCTACTGAAATACACTGCTGAGGGGAGTGGCAGGTGAGACAAGAGAGGTCTGCTGAGCCATGTGGGTAGCTTCCTGGCCGACAATGGAACTATGGACCTCAGGCCACAGCTGTGATAACTTAATAGTGCTGAATCTTTAAGCCCTGCGCTTAAAAAAAGTTACTTCTAGTAACTTTTCAATGAATTTCTAGCTATACTTCAGACTTTCAGAAAAATGTCACTTCCTAACATTCAAAAACCTTTTTTAAATTTCTGAATTTAAAAACTACTGGGGTACCCCAGAACTACTGGGGTAATGGTTTTTTGCCACTTCTGTTTAGTTTGTGTAGAGTGGACTGGGTGCTCCAGCGAACTTTGTTGCAATGTATTGATCTGCTTTGGGTCAATTCTTTCAGTTATTCTCACGACATTTCTAACATGATTGAAGGTCAGTCTTCTTGGGAATGTTCCCCTAGACTTTCGGACCATTACGGCTTGCAGCAGTGTCTGTTGAAGTGCTTCATATAGAGTTGAACTATATCCTGCAGAAGGAAGTCTGGGTATATGTTTAGCTTCTCCAAGCTTTCTCTTGGTCCAGGTTTTATTTATGGTAGGTAATTTCAGGTTGCCTTCACTATGTCTGAAGCATAATTTAGGACTCAGTGATTAATGACATGTGTTAGCAGCTTTGAGCCACTTCCCTGAATTGGGGGTAGTTTCACACTGTCATGAGGATTCTTATGTAATGTAATGAGTTTCCAAATAGCAGCCTTTTTTGTGAATTCTAGCATCTAAAATTTAAATCACAGACAAATAAAAATTGGAGTTTGCTCTTTGGCAAATGGGAATAAATAAGTCTAGACAAGGTTAGACAGTATAGACAGGGGGTCCATTTGGAGCTCATTTTTCAAAAGTAAAATTGGTATTTTAAGCTTTCTGTAATAGAATGATTATATCTTAGGTAACTAAAAAGCCTATCTAAGATTCTTCCCAAACCATTTTATAATTACAAACTCGAAGTCTCCTGGCCTGAGAGAGTTTTTTGCTGTCGAAATGCATCTTTGCTTCAGTTAAAGAGCACATATTCAAGATTGTATATTTCTTTTGTTATTGGACTTTTTGTCTTCTTTGTTTTCAAACAATTTTTTTTTTCTGGATTTCAGCCATAACACAAAAACTACATCTTGGTTAGACCCTCGGTGCCTGAACAAGCAGCAGAAGCCTCTGGAAGAATGTGAAGATGATGGTAAGGGGCCAAAAAGGTCTTGGTTTGGTGAGGTGGTGGGGAGGGCATCGTTCACACATGCAAACTATAAAAAGTTATAGCAAGATCAACCATGTTTTAACAATGAGTCTTTTAAAGGTGATCCAATTTCTAGTAAATGCACTGTGGTTTCCAAAAGCAGGAGGAAAATCAGAACTGTTAGAAAAAATCTATTTGTTTACACCTAAAGGCAGATGTATACTAATACCCCTATTATAAATTGAAGTTAGTATGCTCAGAAACTATTCAAATGGAGATACCAGCTCAGTCTTCAAACTTAGAGCAAACTCTAGACAGTCTGTAGGAATATACAAACCTAAGATGTTCTGGTATGAAACATTGGACCCCAGCTGTATATTATGATGGAGATAGAGGAAAAAAATCAAGAGTCTTTTTGAGCTTTATATGTCTCAAAATTCTGTCATTTCACCATTTTCGGCATAGGGAAAACAGATCTTGACTTGTTTGGGGATCTCTCTGTAACTCAGAATACAATCTAAATATCTGAAAAGTATATTTTTTTCAAGAAAGGGACTAAGGTCTTACCCAGAGCTCCAGTCTCCCTGTTAATATTGGGAAAAAATTAACTGGCTGTAAGACTTATTAGTTTAAAAATTATTCCAGGACTTTGGTTTTCTAATCAATTTCCCAAAATGAAAATTTAAAAAAACAAACAAACGCTATGTCTGAGCAAATGTGTTCCTTTTTCTACCTTGAAGTTTGTTCCAGGTTCTACCAAAATTACTTTTTGACATGGACAAATTAAAAGGGAAATGGTTTGTTTTGCTACTCATTATTCATTTCTGGCATTTGAATTAGTAGTATAATTATTGAGCTTATTTTTACTATAAGATAGTGAAATGTTATTAATTTGTCCTATGGAGCAGAATTGTATATATAAACTTGAGGGTTGTTTGAAAATATAAGCCAGTAAAGTATAATACTGTCAAAACTGTACTCCACAGTTTTACTTGAATTGCAGATTACATGAAATTAACATAGAATTGCATGTTTAATATTTATCCGAGTGACTTCAAGTGAAAATAGAGAGGCCTCCTACTCGGGCAGCATGGCTGAGCCTCTTTATATTTTGGTTCCATTCCTGAAGGAGGAATGGAGCAGGTGTGGCCAGCTGTGTTCTCTTGTCTGCTTAAGAGGTAATGGACTGTCCTTATTCAAATAATCTGCTTAATATATAGCAATAGGTGACCAATTTTCAAAGATCAGAACACAAAATACTTTCAACCATAAAACTTCACAGAATGAATTTTAATCTTAAATAATGCTAATCTTTATGTGAAGCCTGATGATTTTTAAAGCACTTTTCAACCCTCTTATTACCATAGTGTTTTCAATGTTGGTATCTGTTATAATGGGAATGTATGAAAATTGCTGTTAATATTATTTTATAGATGACAGAAAACTCCATAAATCTTATTGAGAATAACTATTAATGGAGCAAAGTTGAATTAAACAGAATTAATAAATTATTTTATTAATAATAAATAATAATAAACAATTAATAATAATAAATGTCACCAAATTTTGTAATTTTTAGAATTCTCCTCACTGGTGTTAATGTAACTTCCTTGGACAAGTATTTGTTCATATGCAGTTAGTATGGTAATTATCCCTTCAATATTAGAATTCATATAGTTTACTTCTAGTGGGAATTATATGTATGTCTATTGGCTGTGTCTATAAGCAATATAAATATATAGCAAGTTAATGCCATTATAACAAATATCAATTCCCATAGTTATATTTTCTGTTCCAGAATCCAGAGCAAAATATCTTGTATTGTTTATATCATGACACAAGAATAGCACTTATGGACACTATATTGTTCCTGTATTTCTTTCCTCTCTCTGTAGGTTATATACATTTGGAATATAACAGTATAGCATCATACTGATTGAAAATTTTGGAAAATTATATAAGATTTTGTATTCTTTTCACTATCTCCAAAAAATGAGAATTTAGTTCTTCCCAGAGTGTGTAACTCCTTTTCTCATTGTATGTATCTAGTTCTATTAGCAGCCTTTAAGTTTGCCTCTGAGCTCCAGGCCAATGTTTTAAGCTGCCTGATTGATAATAACCTACAGGATATCTCAAGGAGATCTCAAACTCAGTATGATTAAAATCCTACCAATGATCTAACCTCTGAAAATCTGATCCTCTGTCTTCCCTATGCCAAGATCCTCAGTGTTCTCTATCTCCATTGATAGTAAATTCATTCATACGTAAGAGTAGTCCTTGACATGTTTTCTTCATGCCTATTTCTAACTCCTTTACCACCTGCATTCACTTTCCCTCCATTCACTGTTTTGTCCATCCTATTCTAAGCCATTTTCATCTTCCACCGAGATTCTTGCCCACTCACTTTACACTGTACTCAGAGCAATCTTTGAAAATGTAGATGTGGTTGTGTGAGTTATCACTGACCGTGTCCCCTACAGCCTTAATCTATGGCTCTCTGTTCTGCTCAGTAAATGCCCAATCCACAGCTCTCCCCTCCAAGCCCTGTGTAGTATGGCCTCCACAGCTTTCCTCTTTCTTGCCTCTCCCCACTCTGCTTTCATGCCCATTAGTTCTCATGCTCCCCAAGTTTCTGCTCCATAACAGCTCCTGTTCCATAATAGCTAAATATACCGTCCTCTCTTAGAAGATCCATATTTTCCATAAATTTTGTAATGCCTTCTGTATGTCAAGTGCATTCTAAGAACTTCAGATATGTCAATAAACAGTAACCAAAAGCCCTGTTCTCAAGTTCTACTCATTTTTCACTCTAAGTCTTTTCATTGAAGTTTGTGTATCCATCTAATCACAACTCAGAGTCTTTCCCCATGAGTTTGTCCGCAGATATGATTAGATCATTCTGTTATGCACCTTCCTGTAGAGAACTTAACCCCAGCTTTAATTTTATTTTTATTTATGTGAACTTTGATCATGTCCATCACAAAGAATACAGATGAGTTTTGTTGTGTTCATTTTGACATCTCTAATATCTAGTATAGGGATTCACTAGTAAACAGTAGGTCTCACTAAATAGTGAAGAAATGAGTAAAAACCCAAAACGCGTTACTAAATAATATCCAAGTGAGCACTTTCATGAAAATTTTTGAGAAAATCATATCCTCTTTTAAGAAATACTGCTGGTATTAAAACTTATGGACTGCAAGTATATGCATGGACCATATTCGTTACTAATGTCAATAATCAGTTCTTTTGTTCATTCACCCATTCATTTGAAAAATATTTAATACCTACTCTATGGCCCAAAATTGCCCAGAGTGCAGTTATGGAGCATTTGCAGTAGTGAAAATAGGCTCAGTCCCGGTGTCTTTTTTGCTTAAAGTAGAAGGGACAGCCACCTGCTCTGTAGCTGGAGAGATCTTATGTCTGAATTGATGTGTTGTATGTTGTCCTGAATTTTCTTCTTAGCTGTAATAAAATGTTTTACTGACAGCAAGAAGAGGTCAAGAATAGAAAGGACCTTGACTTGTTTTGCTCGCTGAAGTTATTGAGAGCATTTTCATTTTAATATCTGTGAGCTGTTTGATTTAGAAATCTTAGGCCAAGTAAACTCTGCCTCCCAATACTTCTTGGAGGGCTGTTTCCAAGCCTTACCTCCTTGACATATACCATCCTGTTGAAAGACATTGAAGTGTAGCTTACTTTACAATTTGTATTCTCAATTTGACCTTTCTTTCCATTTTTCAGGCAGCAGTATTACTTATAAGTTAAGTAATGCTTTAATTGTGAGTATAATTGCCTTGGTGATTAGAGGATTATTGAAGGATTAAAAAGAGTAATATTAAAAGGTCTAACAGTTTTGTTTGTTTGAAATAAGGTCTGTAATAAGTGACTTTCCACTTAAGAACATTGAAACCGCAAAGGTATTTGTCATCTTTTACAACCAATCAAACCCTATTTTGACATGCAAGGAAATGAGCCCTATAATTATGTTGCCAATATCAGCTCTTACCATTTAGTGATTTAAACTGAGGTCTCCAGTTTACTAGCCAAGCCAGTGAAATAAGCCACAATGCAGGTAAGGACAAAATAAAGTGATGTGTTTGCTGCTATTTTTCTAAGGGGAGTTTCTTTCTTGGTGCTGGTGTCTGAATTTTCTCTCTTTTCTGTCTCATTCCTGCTATTCCTTTGGAGAAGAAGGGGTCCACACCGAGGAGCTGGACAGTGAACTAGGTAAACCTTCCTCGCCTGTGCTGCATGACTTGCCCTGAATAGTTTTGTCTCTACTGAACTGCTTAATCCCTTGGTTTCGTTAGTTTGCACTCCTCCAATTATGATTTTCCTTCTGTCTTAGCCATGAAAGGTCAGTCTTACAACCCAGGTGTCTGCAAGCATCAAGCTGAGTTGTAATAAATTGTGTCTATAAAGAAAAAGTCAGAGTGAATTGAAACTAGAATGAGAGCGAATTGCTGATAGGGAATCTTGTAAATTGAGGATTAAGAAAAAACTAATGGGATAGGTGATTGCTGTGTCCCTTGAATCCTAAAACCTATCTCAGCTTCATTTCTTTGTTTGGTGTGGGTGGTTATCTACAGGGTAACAAAAACAAGCAAAGCAAAATGAAAATCCATCAGATTAATTTAAGCATCTCTGTAGGAGTAACAGCAATATAATACATATGTGCAATGATTAACTGCATAGCTAATAAGTCTTAATATTATGTTGTTATTAAGTCAGTGATCAAATATTAACCTTGTAACTATAGTGAATAGCTTGAATACCAGATGCCGATTTCATAGGTACCATTTTCCATACAGTGGCTATAGCAATGTAAATCGAGTCTTATACTCTAGCTATTGTGGTTAGAAATAATTTACATTGGGCCTCCCCAGTGGCACAGCAGGTTGAGCGCAGCTCTGTGAAGCTGTCCCCAGCCTCTGCAGTGTGGGTTCGATCCCCGGCCAGCCAGGGAGAGGCCCACATGGCGCAGCAGACCTCTCGCTGCTGCTCACCTCAGCAGTGTTTTCGATCCATCTGCCTGTTCTGCACCCCACTCTGTCTCTGGTGAATTCTCTCACCTTCCTGTGCCTCTGGCCTGTACCCCAGTTCTTGTATAAATAAATAAAAAATAATCTTTTAAAAAAAAGAAAAAAATAATTTACATTAACAAAGAATGCTAAAACTCCATTATCTTTGCTGTTGGAATATAGTGGATTAAATTACCAGGTATGTTAAATGTTTTATGTTTAGTTTGAACAATATTAACATTAGTTTGTGTTCTATTTGATGCATCTACTGAAGAATAAATGAGAAAACAGAAGTTTCAGCCAAATTACACATGAAGAGCTTGAGTGATTGAAATTTGACTATAGTATGTTTTTAAAATGAAAGATTTTTGGATATCAATGGATTTAGTAATCATCCTTAGATTTTTGAGATTCCCTTAAGAATTGAAAATATAAATATTAAATACAGATTTTTGTTTTCATTCAGTTTTGGTTTTGTTACATAGATAATCAGTTTCTAGCATTATGATATAATAGAATTTAGCTCTGTTTTTCTTAATGTTGGGACCATATCCTGTTACAACTGAGTGATATACCAACAATGGTCCGTCACTATTGATTCCTTTTTTAAGCGTTGGCTAAGTTACCCTTATAAACCACTGTGGTGGGTGTAACCTCAGGTTCAACCTGTGTTACAGAACAATTTGAAATGAATTTTATGAAAAACAAAAATTTATCAAGCCAGGGATATTAAAATAATCAAAAAAGACAACTAGGTTTTCTAAACAAAAGAGTGAGCCTTACTCATTTCCTGAAACAACTTAAGCATCTTCAAGTATTGTTATTTGCTCCTGAAACAACTTAAACCACCTGAGTAGAATGAGTGGCTGTTGTCATCTGGTGGAGAGAACACAGCTGCCTCCATAGTGAAAACCTTATTTGTTCCTATGGGAGTTTGAAAGTTGACATTTTTAGGAAAGAAATTTCTGTATTCTTTTTCCTGTGAAACTAATATTGTAGGAACTTTGCTATTCTTTAAAAGACTTTAAGAAAATAAGTTTTAACGGTTACATTGTATGCCTTCTTGAGGTCATGGCCATCATTCTGGGAGATGGGTTGCTAAGTGTTGAATCTGTCCCTGGGTTACACCCGGACCCCTCTACTTACTGACCATGTGGCCTAGAGCAAGTCCTTCACCTTTTCTTACCTGCATTTTCTTATTAGTAAAGAGGGACTAAAGACCGCTGCCATGTTCCTTATGAGCAGACTTAATGAGAATGGGTCTTAATATGTGTCCCTCTGACCAACACATATTGCTGTTTTTAAGAGTTAGGTTATTTATTAGCTGTTTCCATTTTATTGATACTCCCTTCTGTTGCATCTTGCCTACAGTATGGGAGAGAAAAGAGAAATATGTATTCTGTAGAAATGACCCAAATGTATCCTTCTTGGTAGAGATGGGATTTTTGATTATTGTCTGCAGATGTCTTCTGTGTAAAGAATGTGGTGTGTGTACACACACAATTTTCTGCTGCATTCACTTACCCATTTTGTTAATAAGAAGGTCCTCATTTCAAACAACAGTCACTGTCAAGTTTTTGGTGAACAGTATGGTTCCAGATATGCCATTCACACCTTTTCTGTAGTCTGACTCAGAGACAGAGGGGTGATTGGCTTGGGTATTGGACATAGATCATTTGATTATAAAGTTGTCATTTTCCAACTGTTTTGTGATCTGTATCAGTAGCTCCACTATGCACTTTTGGTTTGCAGAATTTACTACAGTCTGTGGCCATCTCTCCAGAGTTGAAAGGACATGTGCAGAACCTTTTTTTTTTTTTGAATTATAGGATATTCATGTGCTGAAACCAAGTGGCAGAGGTAGAGACAAGGGAGTGAGCTCCTGACCTAACCAAAACTAAATCACAGTTTGGTCATTTAGTTCTGATTTTGAACATGATCTTCAAACTGTGTGCTGATGTATCTCTTTCGAAAAGAATATAGAATGTTTAGTGTTTCCATATTGTTCCTGTCATGAATGACAGTAGAGCATGAGATTTTCAGAGGCAGGCAGAGCAGCAAGTAAGCCATATAATCCGTCCTGTTTCTTTTGTGCTTTCCTAGAGTAGGTGCCATTTGTTGAACCTGTGTTCTTAGTGCTGTGCAAAAGGTTTTGTAAGCACTCTCTTTTAACTCACAGGCAACTCTGGAGGTAAAGGTGAAAGGTGTGGTTCTGGGATAGTAAGTAATTAGCCCAACACCAAACTTGTGAAGCTGTAGAGCTAAGGTTCAATCTGCAAATCTTAAGGGTTGGGCTCAGGGCAACTCCCAAAAGGTCTCAGACACCTGAGTTATCTGCGACAAACCAGATAGTCTGTCTGATGTCTGATGTCTGACGGTGGGGGCGGAGGAATCCTCAGACATCTTCAGAGTGTTTAGTTTTAAAATATTGTAATGTCATCAATTTCCAGGTTAAAAATTTTCTGCCATTTCAGTTTTTTTTAGGACCAAATGGAAAATTTGAGGAGAAACGTCTTCCCTTTTAAATCGATGACCCATTTCTATTTTAAGCATTAGGAGAGTAATTCCTATTATTAAGTTAATCACCACATTGGAAGTGAGAAATTTATCTTTTCAATTTAAAATGAGCTTTAGCTTGAAAAGCTGGAAAATGTTTGGCGTTTGGTAATCTGTTCCAGAATACATTTTTAAATTTACTCGTTCAGAACTACCAGGTGACTAACCCTAATTTTCAAGTACAAATGTATATGTTGTTGGCTGGATGAAAGGGCAAGGATCAGAGGTGGCTTTCTTTTCTTTCACCCTTCTCAAACCTACATACATTAGAGCATTTACCACGTGGTGTTTGAATTCTCCAAAATTATCTTTGTGTCCCTGGTGCTTAGTATACCTGCAGGCACACACTAAGCACTCAATAAATGTTTGGCAAATTAATAATTGAATGAATTGAATTCTTAATATTTTCCCTATTTTATCTGAAGATAATTTGGGCAAATATGAAGGTTACAGATTTCTAAAAAATTCACTGAACCATAATGCAGGCCTTTCACACTCAGCACTCTTCCTTCCCTTGTCAGAACAAACACAGGACTCTGCCTCAATTTGCATTTTTTTGATCTTCCATTTCCCAACACTTTGGAAATATTTTCTTGCTTCATTTCCATTTAAATGATAATTTCCAGTTTTGTAAGGGGAAACCATTTCTCAGGCGTTTGATTTGCATCAGTCTGCAAGACTCAGTGTATAAAAATGCCAAGTTGTAGCAACATCTGCTTATTGGACCTGTCTTGCATTTTAGTAGCTCATGTCTCCCAGAATTCAAAGTCTTCTTTAAAACCTGCTAAGTGTTTTTTTTAAAAATTAGAAGAAAATAGGGAAAACCTGTCTCTTTGTTTGCAAACAAATAACATGTGGAGCAAAAACCATGAAATTAATGTCTCTTGATATGCAGCCAAATCTGAACAAAACATAAACTTTGAGTAATTAGCCTGTGTGTTGTGTGTACGCGTGTGACTCCATTTCAGCGTAGAACTGTTTGTGATATATGTAAGCCCTGGGTCCTGTTGAAATCATCACTATTTGGAAATAGTAACCTCATGATTCCTTGAATTTAAAAAGTCCTAATATTTCAAATTAAGTGATATTTCAAATGTTTAAAATATTCCATTCAAGTTGGTCTTAATAACTGCTTCTAGGAATAATGATTCACTTTGGAGTGTGGTATTACATAAGGGTGACTTAACTATGTATACATCAGGGTGGTCTTGAAATTAAGTTAAGCTGCTCTGCCTGAAAGAATTGTTTAATGGCACAAAACACAATCTAGTTGCTTCTTTCACTAAGTCAAATTATCTGGCGCAGCAGACCTTTGCACAATAGTTTCTTGTTTCAGAAATCACTATTACATAGTTAATAAAGCTCCAAACTTTGATATAAAACTTTATGATGTAAAGTTCAATATAGCACAGTTGAGTTTTCAGAAAGACGCATATATCCCTCAATGCAATTTTACCACCACCTTTAAAAGAATAAACTCTTTTTTCCTTAGCCGTGTGTTCTCAAAGAGCTGGACCTATATTTCTGCTTTCAGAGGCAAAATGCTGAGGAGTATGGGCTGGTCTAAGGACAGCAGTTGAGGGATAGTTGCATACATACAATATCGAAAGACAACTCTGTGAGGGCATTTTTACTTACCCTGAAGCTTTTAAATTAGATATCAGGAGAAAACAAGACGCAAATTTTATTTTATTACAGGGACAGCAAAAACAACACTATTATAATGAAAATGAAAAGAAACATTAATTTTCATCCATTTTTGCTTGTGTAGTAAGGTAGTCTAAAAAGAAAATGAGACAAGTGCAGATATTTAAGATAGGAACTAAGTATTCAAGGCAAACTATACTTCCATTAAAATCTAATTTAATAGTTGAGTTAGAAGGAAGGCATCTGAGACTGCATTTTATTGTTTTATTTGTTTACACAAAAAAATCAGTAAAGAATTGTTCGTCATGTAGAAAACTCTGATAAAAATAAAAACAATGCTTTCTTATAATGAGGAAAGAGTCTTAATTGGATAGGAGGCATGTTTATGACTCTTTCTCTTTTTGCCTAACTTGTGTGTTGGAAATCCCTAAGCCCTCATGAATGGGCCTTCTTGCACTAAATGTTCTTTTATATTTCAGAGCTGCCTGCTGGTTGGGAAAAGATTGAAGACCCTGTGTATGGTATCTACTATGTAGAGTAAGTGCCAGTTCATCCACACTCTAGTTCCTACCCCTCTATAATTATATACATTTATGTTGAACAGTATGTGCTTGTAAAGTACAAACTAATTAATAATAATAACAATAATATAATAATAAAACAGCAAATGTATGGTAAAGCAAATATTTTATTATTTTAATAATATCTTAATATTTTAATAATAATATGATAATATATTATGTGTAATATATAATTTAATAATACATTTTAATGAATTAGAATATATACAATTAATCTGAAGGTGTAAATTATATTTTAAAATTCACAGGGAGAATTTTTTTGTGCTTTTTGTTTATATCTGTATTACCAGGGCCTAACATAGTCCTGACATATGGCTGCTCCTTAATGAGTGCCTCTATTAGCTGCATGAATGAGTGAGTGAGTGAGTCTTAAAAGGAAGAATTCAATAGACCAGATGAGTAGGGGTTGTTTATCTTCAGGATTAGAACCTGTTTTGCCTACATTTTTTGCCCTACTCAAGTCTGAACTTCTCAGTAATTATTATTTATTTATTCAGACTTTCTAAATGGTCAGACAGATCTTCCCAATGCATAAATGTTGCCAAGATTAAGGCGGAAGTTGAGACCTAACGTTAAGCTGTAAGACTTTATTGGCCTCCTTGCTTCTCTCTTGCCCACGGACCAGACATGTGGCTATTTTTTATTTTTAAGTCTCAACCCCTCCTCATTCTGACATGGTTCTAACCTTATTCTAACATTGGAATGTACTTGTCCTGTCATCAGAACCATTTATTGGTAGTGTGACACTGAAAGAAAATAAAGAAACCCAAGAGATTAAACTTTGAATATTCTTTGTGTCATTTCCTCTGAGAAAGATGAGAAATACCTAAGAAAAGAATCTTTGAAAGAAACAAGTGCCATATAAATGTTCTATCATCATAATCCTGCCTGCTACAATGAAGATAACTGGCACACTTTCTCTCTCTCACACTGCTGCCAATGAAAAGTCGTTTGTGTAATACCTTGGTGATAAGAACATATGATATAAAAATGCCAGGCTGTAAAGTGCTCAACATCTTATTGTAAAAAATAATGAGTTCTCTACAGCAAGTGTCCTTCACCCATGTACACATTGCCTCCTCTTGCCTAACAAGGATTGGCAATTTCGGGCATCAGCAAGGCAAGCTCAGTCATCTTGCTGACCCTGATAAAATTAAATTCCTTTGTGTGCCTATAGATACCAGTGGGACTCCTGCCTATTTGGAGCTCATTTTGAGTTCTCCCTCAGCTACCTTGTGCAGTAAGAGAAGAAAGGAGCAGGTGATGACAAAGTTGAATGGATGAAGAGACTTGGTTGGGGCGAGGGTTGGGCAAATTGTGATCTTCCTGTACTGTTGTCTTTCCTGTGTCTTTTCAGATCCATATTAGACTAGTTCTTAGAATGAAATTGCAGGAGTTAGTTAATAAACAAGCCCATAATAAGAATAGAGGGTAATTAGTCTATTTTTACCCTATTTGATAAGTCTAGCTTTAAAAAATATTTCAAGTTTTAAATAATCCCATAGTTATGTCTCTGAACGTCAAAGGAAGCATGATATTAATGAAAAAATAGTAAAATTAATATGTGTATGTTTGTATGTGTGTGGAATATTGTGGTTGTATGTATTTACACATACATATGCATACCCTAAATAGAAGGCCACAGCAAAGGGCCATATAGTGGATATGTATCCATATGTGTGTGTATGTGTGTGTGTGTATACATTTTTGTTTTGCCATGGCCTTATTAGTTTTGGAAAGATTTAAAGTGTCTGATTCCTTGTCACTTTAAATATCACATTTGCTTAGGTTAGCTGCATTTGTAGTCTTTTTGACCAAGACTTAAACTTTTAATTCTGCTTCCATGTCATCGACCAAAGTAGTTAACAGATTTTAGTGAAGTCCTTCTAACTTAATTATTTGTGGGAATGCTTACATGTCTATGAACTCTATTGTAGTAAGTTACATAGCAGTTCTGTTACATATACATGTTGCAAACATACTCATGTTACAAACAACATTACATCCTCACTTTAATCTCGTTTTCCAGTATTTCTAAAATCTACATCTTGTTGAATTAAAGCAGCTCACCCTTGGATATTTGGGGGCGAGCCTATGGTAAAATCCTGGTATTTGGGAGCAGACAAATGTGAAATTGCGTGCCTCTTTACTGTTGACTTAGTTATGTTATGTTAGTTGCACTGTTACTTATCTGCACAGAAATTTACTTTCCTTATCTATAAAATATGAATAAAAATAGAACCTACTTCCTGACATTTATTGAAGGTTTTAAAATACAGTACATATAAAACCAGTAACACAATGCTTGGAACATATAAGCAGGCAGGATATGGCGACCTTGCATTTTTATTTCTTTCTCCTAACTGCATTCTAACATAAGATGGTCAACATCTTAGACCACTGCTTTACTCAGTTCTGAACAAGGGACTTGGCCTGGTGGATGTTTTGCTTGTAGGATGAAGTGTTTCCTTCCTGTTCCAGCCACATCAACAGGAAGACACAATATGAGAATCCAGTTCTAGAAGCCAAACGGAAGAAGCAGCTTGAACAACAGCAGCAACAGCAGCAGCAGCAGCAGCAACAGCAGCAGCAGCAACAGCAGCAGCAGCAGCAGCAGCAGCAGCAGCAGCAGCAACAGTCAGAAGGTTGGCTTTCTCTTGATCTCTTGGCAGAGGAGCTTGGGCTGAAGCCTCGGAGTTGACACCCCCTTGTGGTCAGAACCGGCCTTGATGATCATGTCTTCTGCCTTGAGAACTTGAGGTTCTGGGGGAAGGAGGGAAACAGCTTCTACTAGAGTTCCCCCTGTCCTGGAACCCAGACAACTAGAGGGTCTAATTAAAAATCACCCAGATTTGCACTTGAATTTAGAAAGGAGCTGTGGTCAGATTGAAGAACTTTCCGAGGGTGAGAGAATATTCTTGTTCAGCAACATTTACCCAGCAACTGGTATCTTTTAACATTACATGTTCAAGAATGAGAAAAAGTAGCAAATCTTGAGTGCTTTTTTAAAAATTTAAGTTAAATCATGCTGTGTGAAATAAATATGAAAAATTCAGGAGTGAAAAACATTAAATTGCCCCCCCCTTGCTTCCATCCCATTTTTAATTTAAAACACTGTACAGTTGTTTTAAGGATGTATAGATATACTATATTAACAAAATATCAAATTGTTTTAGTTATTTTTATATAATTCATTCATATATAAACACAATACACACATGCATTAGTTTTGTCACTTGTTTTCCTTATTTGAATATATTTCTTCCACATTTATTTCAAACTTGGTTAATATAGATTCACCTTATAAATTTTAATGGCTGAATAATATTCCATTTTGTAAATGTTTTCATCTGCTTCTTCATTTAGTATTCTTTTTTTAATACATACTTAGGTTTTCCCCGGTTTTTCATTGCAACTTTTTTAATAACAGGCTGAATACCCCCTCATTAAAATATGTGAATATCAATATAATACTGTTCTTATTGTAATGTTATATATAGTAAGTATAGACCATGGAGAAGAAGTTGGAAAACTTTTTCTGTAAATGCCAGGTAGTAAATATTTTAGGCTTTGCTTCTAATGTAGTCTTTATTAACAATTACTTATGATATCTGCCCTGGTGGGTATGAAAATAGTTATAGACAATGTAAAGAATGGTGTGGCTGTGTTCCAATAAACTTCAATTTATGGACATAAATATAATTTTCATGTGTTACAAAATACTCTTTTTATTTTTTTCAACAATTAAAATTTTAAAAGTTGGGCCTCCCCTGGTGGTGCAGCGGTTGAGCGCCGGGCTGCGAAGCTGCCCGGAGCCTCTGCAGCACCAGTTCATTCCCAGCCGCCAGCGAGGGTCCCACAAAAAAAAAAAAAAAATTAAAAGCTGTCCTTGCTTATAAGCTGTATAAAAATAGCCTTTGGGGCCTATAAGCCTATTTTAGAGAGAGTATGTATGTATGTGTATATTCACGTATGGAAATATTCTTCTTTCTATTTAGTTTCTTTTCCATTAAACATGTTTTTTAATATTTTTTTTCTGAGCTGGTGAAACTTCGTGGTGTTAGAAAATGCAGTTTAGAAAGAGGAGACTAGGGCAAGTTAGGTAGAAAGTGACACTTGGGGTTCATCTCACAGGGCCTCAATGAGTTATTTCTTATGAGTCTCCAAGGAGACTAAGACCTCAGGTAGGACCCAAAGGTATTTAATGGACCCCTTTTGGGTTTGAGAGATGTTGGGTGATAGCACCTTGGCAGGCTGCTAAAATCCACCTTCACTACCTAGACAAGCCCATGTCTCAATTATGTAGCCCGGTTTCTTTCTTCTGGGGTCAGCTGAGGTTGACTCTATCTTTCCTGGTATTTTGTTTTACTTGGTTTCACTTTGAACTCTTCAACTAGAGACTACTGAAGTTTTCATTGGTTATCTCACAATATTTCTTTCCTCAAAGATTTTACAAGAGGGAAAGAGGACAGGATGAAGAGAGGGGGACAGAGGGGAGATCTTGAAATCCTTAACATAGAGTAGGATAGAATACCAATTACTTTTCAAAATAAGCACTCTGCATCTGGTTTGAGAGCTTTGGGTTGTTTTATATTTAAAAATAAGGTGAATTCTAAGTGTGTTGGCGAGATGTTTGATGGAAAATCAATATTTTTTTCTCTTTCTCATAGAATGGACAGAAGATCATTCATCGCTTGTGCCTCCTGTTACTTCAAACCACCCCCCAAGCAATCCGGAGCCAACCAGAGAAGCTCCACTTCAGGGTAAAGGGTTTTTACATTGCATCACAGTTTTAGCTCAAAAGCCTAATTTGCTTAAGGTATTTTACGAAGTGGACTCTTACAACTCCCAAGTCAGTCCTTGATTGTAAAAACCATAATGATAGAAATTCCAAAGTACTGCCAAAAAAATTAGAACCATTTCACTATAAATTTCTTCCACTATTTGTTGTACTCTCAAAATAATGACTACTTATTATTAATGATCAGTTAAACTATAATTTCTCAACTCCAGTACTGTTGACGTTTGGACCACATAGCTCTTTGTTGTGGAGCTGGTGTGATTGTGGGATGCTCAGTAGCAGCTTGGCCTCTATTCACTAGCTGCTATATAGCACCACTCCCCATTGCAGCCTCCAAAAATTGCTCCTAAATTTCCCCGGGATGGGAAAGGCAAAACCATCCCAGAGTTGTGAACTGCTGATACAGAGATCACATGCATTTAATATTGTGGTAAATAAGAGAAACTTAAGACTCCATATTAGATATTTCAAAATTCTAATCAACATATTTGTTTTTTGATTAATATTTCCCATAAATGTAAAGTGTTTCATAATGCATTCTAAATCCTCATCTCTGCTTCTTGCCAGTTCCGATACTTATGCATGTTTTACGTTTCATTGGGTCTCACTTATTTACATTCACAAATAGTATGAGCCCCCTAGAGAGGTTCATTTTTGTAAATTGGCAGCTCCAGTATCTTGCTACTTTCAGGCTTCAATACTCTTAAATGATAGGAAACATTTGTGAGCTTTTTTGTTGTTTCTTTTTTTTATTTTAAATAAGAAAAGTGAAAGTGGGAAATGTTTGTGGTTCAGAACCATTCAAAAGACTAAAATTTGTCATTTCTGGACATTTAAAGAGACATAATTGTGTTAGATACAAAAAAGATAAGTAGACTAGTTCTCTAATTTTGATTCTTCCATTATAATTTTCATGGGAAAGAAGTGTATCCCTGTTAGCTGATGCTGTCATGAGATTAGTAGTAAAATCAATTTATGTAAAATCGTTGCTTCTACATTAATATACGTTTTTATGTTGATGGTGATAGATATCTTTAATAAAGACAGAACAGAGCAAATAGCATATTAATTCATAGCATCATGATTGTGACCTCCTCAGTATTTTTTTATTTTTTTAAAGATTTATTTTTATCTATTTATACATAGAAGAACCAGGTATAGGGCAGAGGTGCAGGGGGTGAGCGGATTCACCAGAAACAGAGTAGAGAGCAGAAGAGGCAGATATACTGCAATACACTGCTGAGGGGAGCAGCAGCGGGCGAGACAGGAGAGGTCTGCTGTGCCATGTTGGTTAGCTCCCTGGCCAGGGATCGAACTCATGCCGTGGTGGCTGGGATAGCTTGGTAGCATTGAGTCTTTAACCCCTGCACTACCAGGAAGGTCCCCTGCAGCCTGTGTCATCTTACTGTTAGGGTAGGTTAGCTACACCAGCCTTTTCAGTTCCTTGAACCGGCAAAACTGTAGTCAAAGCCCTTGAATGTCTGCACCCTATTTTGTGACTGCCTCTTCCTCCCACTCTTTGGTTTGCTAACTCCTACTCTTCTCAGATTTTTGCTAGATTCTTCTATTATTTTCACCCTTTCCACCCTTTATTTTTCATTTATAGCATTGAACATTTTATAATTGCTATTCATTTGTGTTCAATTATTTAACAATAGTTTCCTCTCTAGACTTTAAATCCCATGAAGTCAGGAGACTGTTTTTTTTTCCTTCCTTAGAGTATTGCAAAGCAGGCATAATCCCTTGACATCTAGTTTCCGCTGAAATTCATTGCTGAGTGAAACAATAGGTACATACATGCCATCCACACTTCCTTGAAGAATTGTCTAAGAGGGCCTCCCTGGTGGCGCAGCGGTTGAGCGCTGGGTTGCGAAGCTGCCCGCAGCCTCTGCAGCGCCAGTTCGATACCCGGCTGCTCCCCGGCCACAGGCGGAGGGTCCCACATGGCGCGCAGACCTCTCCTGCCACCCGCAGCTCCCCTCAGCAGTGTACTTCAGTCTTTCTGCCTGTTCTGCATCCTGCTCTGACTCTGGTGAATTCTCTCACCCTCCCTCACTTCTGACTGTACCCAGTGCTTGTATAAATAAATAATTTTTTTTTTTAAAAGTAAATCTGGAAAAAAAAAGAATTGTCTGAGAGAGTAAAGAAATGAAAGCTTTGTAGGTTCAGATTCTAGGGTGTCAAATGCTTGATGCACCAACTAAGTTAAGAGTCCAGATGATATTTGTATGTATTAGGAATTTTATGTCAGATTCTTCTCTTTTTCTGCAACTGTTGTTTGCTTGTTTGTTTGTTTTTTCACTTTTTTTCTTTTCCCGTTGGATTTCATACTGGTTTAAGAAAGTTCTGGGAGAGGCTCACTAAGCTCTCCCTGGGAACTATTCACCTATCCTAGCAAACCATCTACTTTGTAGTCTGCCTGTTGATTCTCATCTGTCAAACATAGTTATCATCTTTGGACCTTAATCCCACAGAAGCCAGTTAAAATCTGTGGCCTTTGAGTCTAAGCAGAGATAGTGACAAACATTAACTTGGACTTCACCATCATTGTTTACAACTCTGGGTTAGTTACCTGCCTGCTGGCTCAGTGTCCTGATCTAGTTCCCTGAGAGTACTGTCAAGAAGAAGCCATATAACTGCTGGGTTAGAAGGTTTGGTATTAATTTTGCTTAGTTCACTGCTCACCTAAACTTTCCTCTGATCAAGAACACACTCCTAATTCCAGCAAATGATAATTTAAGAGACTCACTCTTAGGAAATCTTTCCATTTTCTAGCTTGTTTGGAGAGAAATTTTTGCAGCAACATACTCCATCACCACCATCATCAAAATAATAACTCAAAGCTATTGAATCCTCATAGTGCGCCAGGCCCCCTTCCCTAAGCACTTTACCCATATTATCTGTCACAGTTACTCTATCATTTTCATGAGATGTTTGGTGCAGATACCTCCATTCACACTTGTGAAACCCAGGCAGAGAGCAAGTTTAGTAACTTGCCCAAGTCCAAAAAGACAGCAGAGCACATATCTGACCCCTAATTATCATTATCATTAAGAATAGTTTAATTTCTGGCTGACACCTTTCTACTTCTTGCAAAATACCTCATTACATAATCTGAAATCTAGGGTGGATTCCATTGGCTACATGTTGCCATTTAAATTTAAGTCCATTGCAATTTAGAAATAAAAAATTCAGTTCTTCAGTCCCAAATGCCACCTTTCAAAGGCTCAGCAGCTTTATATGGCTAGTAGCTGCCATGGTGGGCAATGCAGATACAGAGCATGCCCATCATCACAGAACGTGCCACTGGACACTGGTCTGGGATATTTAAACACTAGAACCAACCTACCAAGGAAGCATGCAGCTAAGGTAGATTTTGTGGTCAAGACCCAAAAAATCTTAATTCAATGAATCTAGGGACATCCCTAGAAATGAGAAATGAGTATATTTTCAAAAGCTACCCATGTGATTTTCATACCTAACCAGCCTTGCAACTAGTGACCTGTCAACAGACTGGCATCTCTGAAAAATTATCATAGGGTGCAGCAGAGAGCTCTAGAATTCACTGATTGTGGGGAGAAAAACATTTCTTTTCAAAAGCTACATTAACTGATGATCCCTCCCGTATAGTAAACCTAATAAAATGTGCATAAATGTGAAATCCTCTGATCTTTCCTTCCTAGTTAAGTGTTGACAAAAAAAAAAAAAGTGGTGTAAGTTCAAAGCTCTGCTCATGTTTCTAATAAGTTGAAAACATTCTAAGCTCAAAATACGTTAATAGCTTTTTTAAAAAATTCATTCAGATAAAGTGCCAGGCACACTTTCACATTCTCTGACTTTGCGTATAGTAAATCTGAAGTGCTTAAACACCCAACCAACCTCTTTCCAACCTTTGCAAAGACTTCTCAAACCTCATTTCTTTGCACCATTGTTGGTTCATTCAACACCAGCTTTTGGCCAAATGGCAGATGAAACCAGCAGTATTGTGGGCATCGGCTATACAAGCGGAAATCCTCATTTGTATTCGTATTCCAGTGACTGCTTGTAGGTGCAGTGCTCCTCATGCCAAGAGACAGGGACATGAGGAGAGACACCAAACCCATAGTAAGATGTGTACTCTGTCTGATGGTGGTAAATGCTAGGGACAACAATAAGGCAGGGAAGGGGGATGGGAGTGTGGAAGAGGCATTGCAATTTTTAATAAAGTATCAGGGAAAGTGTCACGGGGATGATGATGGCTGTTGATGTCTTTGCATACCTGGAATATTGTCCCCTTCAAGCTTTCTGAACTCTCTATCTCTAACAGTCTCTCCCTCCAGAGTCTAAGTCATTTGTACACACCCCCAAATTAAAATTGGGGGGGTTTCACCTGTCCTGGATTCCCCTTTGGTAATTGGCATGGCAGCTGTCTCCTGACCAGCCCTGCCTACAGGGAACATCACCTGCCTGGTGCCTCGGCAGGGGACTCTGCATGGTGAATCCTGCTACCTCTTGCCTTTTCTTCAGCAGCAGTGACAGGGCGGGGGGGTTGTCATGCTTCCAGCCATTGTGGGGATCGCACCAGAGGGGAGCAGATCTTTGACTCTAGGCAGCTATAAGTGCCTTTTTAAAAGCCAGAAACTTAAAAAAAATGCAATTAAAAGTTGTATGTGTGCCCAGAGACCTTTTTAAAAAGAACTTTTAGATATACCTAACCAAAAATAACTTTCCTTTCTGGGTGCCAGGTTCCGAGTGATGGGGTACATGGAGACATTTTCTTCTGCTTTTGTTTTGTTTGCTTCTTTTTTTTTTTTTTTTTTTTTTTTGATGCAAAGAAAAACAATAGGGGTAGATGAGGAAGCTGTGGCAAGGGCAGGAGAGGGGAAGTATAATTAGGAGAGCTGAAGCGCCTGCGAGCCAAATTATTTCCACTATTTGGGATAACCAGAGAAACTCCAGCAAGGTTTTCAATTACAGGAAATGTCTACCTGGTAAAAACTGAAGTAAAACTCTTGATTTGTGTACAAAATGGTATTTGTGAATTTATCAAAAAAACTCAATAAAACCTAGCAGAGCCTATTTGGGGGTTATTTAGCCTTCTCTCTATCTATTTAAGTAGAACAGCTGAATTTGGAGCTGTATGGTTCTTGTTAGAACTATTTTGTTCACTTCCTAGGCCATGTGTACTAAGCTAAAAAAATAAATTTTCGCAGTAGAATCTAGCAATATTACTTGACTGTTTCACAAATTTTTAAATCATCCAAATTAATAGGAAAATCAGTTGAAATTTATAATTCAATTAAAAATTACTCAATTTTGAAAATGAATTCAAACTAATTTTCAGTTTTGAAAGTAGTGATTCTGGATTCTTATCAAAACTCTCTATGTGACCATAATGCTTCCTAGTATTACCAGTGTATTTTCAGAATGAGTTTTCTGTTTGATTAAAAGCTGAAGATTTTGTTGAACCCATTTTACAAGTGGAAGCCAAGCCCAAAGCAGCAGCACATTGGAAAACATGTTGCAAAATAGAAATAACAGACAAAATATAAACAAACAAACAAAAAAATCCACTCCGTTTTCTGGGAAGAACTTCATAGCCGCTCAATTGCTATCAGATGTTGACATGCTCTGACTACTGTATTCCGGTGCTTAAACATAGAGCCAAAGAGCAGCCTTGGAGCCTGATTATTGAGATCAAGAGAGGACTATCTAAAGACACCTGTTTGCCCACATGTCCCAGTACAGGACCATGGAGAGTTATCTAAGTTGTATCATTTCTTACTTGATCACCTTTTTCACTTGGTGACATTCTTTGTAATTTTCTTGTCTTAATCCAGGCAAACCCTTTTTTACACGAAACCCTTCGGAGTTGAAAGGTAAGTTCATTCACACGAAGCTGCGGAAAAGCAGTCGTGGCTTTGGCTTCACTGTCGTTGGAGGGGACGAGCCTGACGAGTTTCTGCAGATCAAGAGCTTGGTCCTAGATGGTCCTGCCGCATTGGATGGCAAGATGGAAACAGGTAGGGACACCACCTGGCCCTCATGTGTCTTGTATAGGGAGACTTTCACCAGTACCTGAATAAGATCAAACAGCAGCAGGTTTCATGAGTTTATAAATGTTCTTATAAACCTTGTGAATGAACAGTTTTCCTCCACTAGAAAAGTGACCCCCTAGTGTAGATGAAGACCTCTGAAGTGGTTTTATCCTTGGGGAACTGTTCAGGTGCAATTGAGTACAATAAAGCAGTAATTTACTAAAAATGTAGATCCGTTCGAATAAATTAATTCTAAACATGGATTTCTGAAGTGAGAATCTTTTTTAGATGAAAGCCCCAATATTCTTTCAGTGGTGATTATATTCTCATTAGGAGGAAATACATTAGATGCTGAAAGAATGCCTAATTAGCGGTTAAAATAGTACTAGAAACTATCTTTTTATGCCCTCTAGTACCACACCCAAATCCAATTTCAGTTTATCTCCTTATTGGTAGTATGTTATGTTATTATGTTGATATGGCTTTTCTGGGCACAATTTTTTTAACCCCCAAACTCTTAACTTTTACAGGAGATGTGATTGTCAGTGTGAACGACACCTGTGTTTTGGGACACACACATGCACAAGTTGTGAAAATCTTTCAGTCCATTCCCATTGGTGCCAGTGTGGACCTTGAACTCTGCCGAGGTTATCCGTTGCCCTTTGACCCAGATGACCCCAATACGAGCTTAGTGACGTCGGTGGCCATTTTGGATAAAGAACCAATTATTGTGAATGGGCAAGAGACGTATGATTCTCCAGCTAGTCACAGTAGTAAAACTGGCAAAGTCAATGGCATGAAGGATGCTAGGCCAAGCAGCCCCGCTGACGTGGCTTCAAACGGTTCCCATGGTTACCCCAGTGACACTGTCTCTTTGGCTTCTTCCATAGCCACTCAGCCGGAACTCATAACTGTTCACATAGTGAAAGGGCCAATGGGCTTTGGTTTTACCATCGCAGACAGTCCTGGTGGTGGTGGCCAAAGAGTGAAACAGATTGTTGACAGTCCAAGGTGCCGAGGCCTGAAAGAAGGGGATCTGATAGTGGAAGTTAATAAGAAGAATGTGCAGGCACTGACTCACAACCAAGTCGTGGATATGCTGATTGAATGTCCAAAGGGAAGTGAGGTCACATTGTTGGTGCAACGAGGAGGTATGTAGGCTTATTTTGTTCTTTGAATTTTTAACACAAAATCCATTGTTTAACCTACTGGTCTCCAAGCAGCTGTTCAGGGCTTTTTGAATGTCTGCTTCAAGATCATTTTTATGTAAAGATTTTAAAGCCCACTGAAAATGCTTTCTGACTTCTCTACATGCTAGAGTCTTAGAATAAAGGTTGTGTGTCTGTACACATGCTGCTAGAGACTTTTAAACTTAAATCAGATTTTGCCTTTTCAAACCTTTGTCCTTTAAGTCTCCTGAACCTGGCTTGCATAGCCTGCATGCAAAATGCGGCTCTCTGCCATTGTTTCAGCCTCATATCTCACTCCCCACCTCCTCCTCCCTGCTGTATGTTAGATGCCTAGATTCTTTTCTGGCTGGCACACCTTTAGTGCTGCAAGTGCTTGCCTGTCACAGGGCCTTTGCACTTCCCATTTTTCCTGCCTGGAATTCTCTTTTCCCTTGGCTGGCTTAGCCTCATTTAAGTCTCCTCCTTGGTAGGGCTTCTCTAATGACTTTTCTAGCAGAAACCTCTCCTATATCATCCCATTTCTTAATAGCCTCTATCATGATTGCTAGCATTGTCACAGTCATTATTTTGCTTATTTATTTTCCTTTGTTCTCTCTTTTTCACTAGAATGTAAGATCCATAAAGCCAGGCCCCATGTCTGCATGTTGATAGCTTTATCCCCAGAAATTAGCACAGACTCTGACTTCTGCTAGGTGCTATTGAGTGGATGATTAAATATGTGATTATTTGTTTTGTTTTTGTTTTTTGAGCAATTTATTTATTTGTTTGTTTGTTGGTTTATTTATTTATACAAGCACTGGTACAGTTAGAAGCGCGGGAGGGTGAGAGAATTCACCAGAGCCGGAGCGGGGAAACTAACAGGCAGACTGACGAAGTACACTGCTGAGGGGAGGAGCGGGTGCGGCAGGAGAGGTCTGCGCGCCATGTTGGACCCTCACCCAGCAGCTGGGGATCAAACCAGCGCTGCAGAGTCCACGGGCAGCCTCACAGCCCAGAGCTCGACCGCTGTGCCACCAGGGGAGGCCCAATATGTGATTATTTGTACTTGGCAGGAAAACTTCACCAGTCCTGTTAAAAACATCTCAAAAAAATCACATTTTAATGAAATGTTTAAGCATTTCTTAGAAATGGGGAATTCTAAACCTTGAGGCATTCAACTTCCACCTTTCCCTAGCCTACAATCCCCCACCCCTGCCCCAGATGAACTCTCAGGACTTCACACTGAGAAATATTTTCCACAATGCTGTAAAGTCCTACTCCAGCATATGAATTTGTGACTAGAATTGGCCGATCATCTTACTCGGTGTGCCTACGATTGGTTGTATTCCTGATCCTCGCCCCTCATTTCTTTCGTACACAGCATATTTAGATCCTTTGGAAAGAGACCAGAAACCTGATTTTCATTTCCTCTTGTTCTGTTGCAACAGAGGTGTGCTTTTTTGTCAGAGCAGCAATGTTCTTGTGGTCTCCAGAACTGAAGCTGTGTCTTCTATGGTCAAAAATGATTGAGGTCATTAGAAGGAAACCCAAGATTCAGAGCAATTGTCTCTAGGAACTGAAATATTCAGTCAACCCTTCTCAAACAGTTGTAAAAACCATTGTGTAAATTTTAGTTTTTAAAATGTTATTTCCATTGATGCAATTTTGAAGTCTGTTGTTATGCATACATCATTGAACTGTGCTGATAGTTGTTTCTAAAGAGTAATTCAGATATGTGGAAGGTGATATGCAAATGATAATGGTGATGATGATGATCCTGATATCCAGGAGTTAAAGAAAAGTTGCGATTTAAAAAGCACTTTCAATTCCCGTAGATATCTCTCATTTCATTTTAACCATGTTCCTGAAAAGGTAGGATGGTGCCAGCCCAGTAGGATGAAGATATTTAACCTTAAATCTGCAGTTTCCTGTCTATGCTCTGCTCTGTTTAACTCTGAATAGTGCTGATATTTTTCATAATTGCTGATTTCTGTGGCTGGCAACATAGAAACTTTCAATAGTTTTAGGTATATCAGGGCCATCTTTGATTCAGCTGCTGTTTCATGTGACAGAAGCAATCCTGATCTCCTGACTCATTTATTTGCTTCATTTTTGTTCAAGGTGTTGAGTTTCTCTTTCCGATCAGAATCCCTTTGAAGGGCACCAGAATATAAAGTCTTGTTACAATCAACTGATTTGCAATTGCTACTTGAACCAATTGGTAATGAATTTGCCCAACTAGGAAACAACTAATCATAGAATGATATCCCTCGATTTCAAATATATTTTCACTCTCCTTAATTCACAAGACCTTTTTATTAATGCCATAGCATTTTATAGCATTAAATTAATATGGAAAAATCCAGGCTATCTTGCCACATCAGTCAACATCTACATAGTTTATTATAGAACCTGATTAATTTATAATCACAGTAACATCAGCAGTCTTTAAAATATACCATATGCATTGCATTGAATTATGTATAGCATGGAAAGTTTGTACATCTGCAGTTGGCAGACTAGTACCAGCTTAATAAATCTTTCTAGAAAGCATGTAAATATATTTGCCTCTGCTGTACATTAGTTATTTCAATCGGGACTGACATTTTAATCATCTCTCCTGTATGTTGGGGGTGTAAATGAGAAGGTTTGATGAAGCAACAAAGACAGCAGCTAGGTTAAATGAGAAAGTAAATACCCACTTCACTGATTGTTCCTAATGAATCTCATTTCTGTCATACCTCCTAGTAAGCAGATTGATAAACTCATTAAATTCACACTGTCCTTGATTTTTAAGAATTCAGATCTTGAGGGCAAGCCTTTCTAAAATGTCTTAACGAACTGGTGTTCTTTTTTTTTTCTTCTATTTTGGGGCAAAACTGGCTGCATTTGTATTTTGTTTTTATCTCTCAAGGTCATTTTTATTCTTGTTGAGATGAGGTATATTGTATTTGTTAGTACTTTTTTTTGTCTTTGCTTCACTTGGAAATCAAGCAGAGGTTAAAATATCATTTGTAAATTTCAGGAGTTAGACCATCTCCTAGGTCAAGCTTAGCTACAGGGGCATCCCCCCGGATACCTGGCATCTGGGACCACACTAATTCCTATTGTAGTCTCCTTTATATAATGCGTCCCACCTGCTGGTCTGTCATGATCTTTAAAGGAAGCTTCTTCTGCTGCCTGGTTTCCCTCTTACTGTGGAGGATCCTTTCCTCCTTCTCCCTCTGCTGTCCAGTCAGGAGAATGCTTTTTATTTTTAAAATTTTTACATAGCATTTGCATTCAGAAGGCCTATCATCTGACACCCATGTGAGTCTAGAGACTTTTTTGAGGTGTTTGGAAAGTCACACTAGAAGGCAATTTACTATTTTTTTTTTTTCAAAACCAGGTTGTTGTTGTTGTTGTTTTAATTAACACAACATTTTAAATTGGTCCCATAGAGGTTTTATACTTCTTTAAAAAAAAAAAAAGGAATTATATGTAACACAGCTAGCTGTGCCCCCTGTATAAATATTTTGTATATTCGCTAAGTGACACCCAGTAGTAGATCAGAAGCTCTTTAAAAGGTAATTTTGGGTTGAGTCAGAATACTATGCTTCAAGAGAAGAATTGTCAATACTTTGTGAATGTAGATAACATGTTTTGCTTTGAGAGAGCATATATATTGAAAAGGAAGCTGAACTAGAGGTGTCAGGAGTTCATATCTGGTTCAATCTCTGCCCTACGCTGCTCTGTAACTCACACTAGTTTCTCCTGCCCTGATACTCTTTTCTTCATCAAAAAAATGAATATTTGATTGGGTCATCTTTAGAGATACCCCTTTCAGCTCAATTTTATGATGGGTGGAGTAGAAGCCATAGATTCCATAGCATTTTAAATCTCAGCTCCTAACTTCACTCAGTGTACATCCTTAACAAGTCATCTGAAAAAATGTGAATAATACTGCTTACTTTGCTTGTATACATGCATGATATAGATGAAGTAATGTAGCATTTGTGCCTATTGCTGACATTAAAGTAGTCATGCCATAAATAATGTGTTTCACCGATGTTGCTTAATAGGAGAAGCAACTAAATGAGGTGGCTTTTCATATTCAAAAAGTTGCAATCATAGCAAATTACAAAGGATCACTTGGTGTTTACAAAAAATTAGTAAAAGGCTATAGCCCAGATCTACAGAACCTTAATCTCAATGCAGGCACCTGCCTATTTTGGAAGCTCCGCTGGCAAGTCTGACATGCGGTCAGGTTACATCCAGTGTTAGGGTCCTGCCTCATAAAGTGTTCTTATTTTAATTTGATGACCTGTAACTTTTGGGTGGGAATAAGTTTATAAAGCTACAAAATCATTTTCATTTCTGAGTAATATTTGTCTCTTTAAAGTCTACTTTATAACAAAAGATTTCTCAGTCTTCCTTAAGGTCCATTCCAGCTTTCCTATTTCAGAAAATAGAAGGAAGGAATTGATCTCTGAGATACTGGTTTGGGGCAGTCTCCCAGTGGCTTTCTTAATCACAACAGTAATTGCTTTCTAATTTGTACAAACCTTATACTGAATAATTTTGTCAGGTCACTGATGTTAGGATCTGATTACAAAATAATGATATGTTAGGATTCCTGAAGGGTAGGACGATGTCCCACTTTTATTCCTAGTACCTCATGGGGCGTCGTAAGTAAATACTAACTGAATAAATTAAACTTGCTACACATCACAATAGAAAATTAATCATATAGCTTTACAGTCACACTTCATAAATCTCAATAGATGATAAAGAGATGTTAAAAGGTAAAAATTAGATATGAAAATGGTGGTGATAGTGAAAAATGGCCTGACTATCATTGATTGTGGCCTTACTACGTGACAGGCCTGTTACTGTGGTACAAGCAATACATGCATGTAAATAAGATCTCACAACACTCCATTGTCATGACTGCATTCAAACTGCCACCAGTTTGTGTAGTGTGAATCTGAATTCTTTGGAAA